CTAATACTTTACAAAAATTAGGTTTAGAATGAAGAAATTGGAGAAGAAAAAGTTTGTAAAGTTTTAAAGGATAAAGATGGAAATCATATTGAACCAGATTCATTTAGACGTCTTAATAAGAAAAGACAAAGAAGAGAAGAAGAAGTCCATACAAGAACTCCAACTTATCCAGTTGAATATGGAGATGAAACAAATGAAGATAAAACTAAAAGATATGCCAAATTTTGGGCTTACATTGAGAATATCAACAAGCACAAGCCAGGATATCTAGAAACTCTACATTTATGGAATTTAGGAAAACTTGAACACAGATATTTCTCCAACAATGGTAAACAAGAGTGTTGTGGATGTAAAAGACAGAATGAAACAATATATCATGTTTTTGAAAAATGTGAATTCACACATTATTTATGGGAACATTTAGGTTTTAAACGTGTTGCTAGCTCACCATTTAGTTTAACAGAACTAACAACCCCAACTCATGAATTCACAGAAAATGAAAAAGTCCTAAGAAAAATGTCTCTCTGGATAGATGCTTTGATACAAACTCGTATCACTAGAAAGAATGACAGAACATGTGAAGAAGCTGTTTCAGCTACCAAATACAAGATGAGAAGTATTCAACAAAAGTATGGTTTTAGAGGTGAATGGAGATGAGCGAGAGGTTCTGAAGGGGTTTAAAGGTTGTGTTGTTGAGATGCTAGGATAGATATATGGTTGAGGACAAATTCAACATCAATAGGGTGTTACAAAGATAAATCATATTATCCCTCTGTATTATGAAATCTTAAGTTGATTGATGATTTGACGCTTAGAGTCTTTTTGGAAACCTATTATTTTAAGAAACCAATTATTACTAGAAATCTAGTGGTTGTTTTAATTATTAATGAGAAATGTGAATTTGGGAATTGAACTAAATGGAAGTAATTGTATAGTTAGAAAAGATTAGAAATATAAGAACGTTGTCTAGTTAAAAAAAAAAAAAAACAGTTAAAAAATGTGTCAAATTGTACATGTAACTAGCTTTATCAAACCAAATTTAGTGATACTGCTATTAAGCCGTGTAGAAATGACAGATTTTTCTTAACACCCGTTGTCGGTTAAAAAAATACAAATGTATAAAAAAAAGAAAACATAATCTGTCCATAGTTAAAATTGTCAAACATCAAGCACCGTTGGGAAAAGCCATGACAAAAGTCAGTTCTAGGGCTATAGAAAATGGAGAATACTGTATGCTTAGCTTGACAAAAGTCAGTTCTAGGGCTATAGAAAATGGAGAATACTGTATGCTTAGCTAATATCGGGCTTATTTCTGTACATAAGCTGACTTTAAAAGTTTGGCTAAGCTTGGAAGATTATAAATGGAGTTGATCATGGAGTTAATCGGGCTTGCTTAACCAACTTCAACAAGATCATACAAAGATACAAACTAGTGAAATTGAAATCTATTTCATGTCGTCATATTGTTGTACAACTCAGCTACATGAATCATGATTTAGTTTGTGAAATGGGCTCGTATTTTCATGGTACATGTCGTTTGTGATCTAAAAAATATCTGATGTCATTTGTTGAATTCAGTTGCTTTCCATATGTTGAAGCAAAGTGTACCATTTGACGTGGTTTCAGACGGTTCTTTTGATGCACATGGGTTAAATATCTTCAAGGGCCCTACAAGTTTCGGATTAATTATTTCAAATCTAGAGATAGAGTCAACTATATCCCAATACAGCTCATGATCAAGAATAGAAATGTTTAATTACTCAGTCCTGTTTTAATGACATCTAAACCAGGCTCAGACAACATTCACACCCATTAATTACATGCTAAGCACTTATCTATCGGCCTGATTTTAAGGAATATCTATCAAAAACGTTTATATCTTAATGTCCGTTTTGGCGGTGTTGTCTCTATGGGTTTAAAAATTCGGCCGAAGATGAAAACTACGCCATATCAATATGCAGTACGGTTTTAGTCGGCCATTTGCAAATTTGATATATGAAAAACCAGAATAACTCAACAAATGGATACTATATCAACATATATAAATATAACGAACCCTGACTTTTAATCACAAGTTAGAGTTCATCAAATCAACAAAGAAAAAAATCCTCAAAAAATGTCTAGTACAATCACATCAACAACTTCAAATTATCAACCTTTGATAACGTCACTAGTTTCACAAATATCATCAGCATCACAACTCTTAGTGAGTCAATCAACAGATGTTTCCTTACAAGGTGACTATGCCAAATTACAAGCGTCTTATCTCTCTGCATCAAATCAACAAATATTACAAACCGCTACAGCTTCAGATGTTGTATCAAGCGCATCACAGGCAATTGCTCAAGCGAGTGCAACTTTATTAGAGATTAAAAAAGAGAATAATCAATACGAGGGATTGATACCTTCTTTTGAAGGAAACCTAATATTTTTAATTTTGTTTGCATTGGCAATGATTCTTCATATTGGATTTGGATATTGGTATAAACAATGGTGGGTTATGGTTTCATTTTTTTGTGGATGTGGATTGGAAATGGCTGGGTTTCTCACAAGAACTTTATCACATGACGATTATGATGTAAAGGATTATTTCTTGTGTCAAATAATCACATTAACTATTGCTCCGGCGTTCATTATGGGTGGTGTCTACATATTATTGGGGAAATTCATTATGGTTTATGGGGCTCAGTTCGCATTAATGAAGCCTATGGCATACTCATATATCTTTATGGGGTGTGATTTTGTATCCTTAGTGGTTCAAGCTGCCGGTGGTGCTATGGCTGCAAGTGCAACTACTAAATCGGATAATGAATTAGGTACTCATGTTATGGTTGCTGGATTAGCTTTCCAAGTGTTTTCAATGACTATTTATGTTGCATTGTTTTTACATTATTTTTACAAGATAAAGTTTTTCAACAAAAAGGAACATGAAGAGTTGGAGGTTGAAGCATTTAATCCAGCTTATAAACAATTAAGATCAAGAAAAATATTTCAATGGTTTCCTTATGTTGTTTTCGCTTGTGTTGCATTGATTTATATCCGTTGTGTTTATAGAGTTGTTGAATTGGCTGAAGGCTGGTCAGGTTATTTGATTACACATGAATTGTTTTTATTTTTCCTAGATGCTTTGATGATTGCTCTTACAGCTTTCCTGTTGATTGTTTTCCATCCAGGTACTGTGTTTGATGGAAGAAATATTAAAATTCAAGTTGCTGGACAATCCAAAGATAAGAAAACTAATCATGAAGGTGTTCCTTTAGATGATTTGAAAAAAGATGGTGACTTTGATGAAGCTTCTGATCAGTCATTCAACAGTGTCAAGTTTAAGAGAAATCACATTTAGTCATCCCAACCCAGCTTTGTTGTCGTATCTTCTCAGAGCAGTGGGCTCTTCACAATCATTGTCGTAGGGCCCAATAAATCCGTTATATTTAGCATATTGATAGATGTTTTGCATTTTTATTGAATGACTTGTAATTGATGTATTTTTCACGTGATAAATTACATATTGTAATCAAATAATTTCCCAGTAGTTACGCAGTTGTTCGAGATTAATATCATCATAACCAGATCGCATAAATTCGCGACAAATACACCACACATAGTACGTCTTCTGTTATACCTTGCAACTAAACGGTAAGGGCATCACTGGAATTATTAGTGACGGAGTTGATGACAAGAGAAGCATAAGGCTTATTATCCAAATAAGAAGATAAGTTCATCGAAGTCGATTAAGTTGTAACTTGTGGCTAAAATTAGATATTGGTTTTCAATCGTATTGAGCCGGGATGCAATGGCAGATTTATCTCGCGAATTCGACGTTGATGAATGTTTTTTTGGACAGCAGTTCCAACTTCCTGTACTAGCAGATTGTCGACTTGTACTTCAATCCAAGAAGGTGTCGTAAAAGTATCGTAAAAATAGATTATGTTTCCAAGAATTTACATTTGAGCTTGATCTTCAAGATTACCAAAGATAACAAAGCGCATAAAGCCCTAGACACTGTTTTCCGACGATGGAGTTAATCGGGCGTGTTTGTTTCTATCCGGTTATATTGATGTTGTTCCACCTTCCAGCCTCCAGGTACTCGCAGTCTGCAAAGTAACTGCATTCATTGTCAGTTACAGTTTATCAAAATGCAAAGAGATATTGTTTGAACTTCGCCCAAAGACAGATACCGTTGCTCTACAGATGTTCATGGTTATTGTTAATTTTCAGCTCGGAATGATACATCCTGTATCAATAAATCATGTGAAGCTGTTCCAAATGATCTTATGTCATATCGTGATATTGCCTTAAAGTATTATAATCCAGACCTCAATAATATAGCTGCTACTTTGACTTGAACTTTGGCCTTTATGGTTCAATTGAACTGAGAAGGGTCCAGATGGTTGATCTATCAGAACTATAATTAGCATTAATTGGGCCCATAGAGCTGTGGGCTTTAGCACAGCCCTATGCAAACAACCAGTTTTGTTCCAGTGCTACAGATCAAAATAGATTAATATGTTACAGTTTAATATTTCCGTTGAGAAGGTCCAGCTAAAACCCGATTTTGTGGGCTTTATTCGGTCGCGAAAGGAAAATTCTACGGTTTTTACGCTGTGCGGTTTTAGTCGGTAGCCAATAATCACAACAATCAAATAGTATAAAGAGGCTTCAATGGACCCTGTTTTTCTCACAGATATTTCAATGAAACTACTATCAAATCATCGAGACTCAATTGAACCTACAAAATGTCTAGCACTTCCAATTATCAACCATTGATTACATCTTTAGCTTCAAGAATTTCATCAGTCTCTCAAGCCTTAATTACTCAATCAACTGCTACTTCACTTCAACAAGAATATGCCAAATTACAAGCATCTCATCTTTCTGCTTCAAACCAACAACTTTTACAAACTGCAACAGCTACCGATGTTGTTTCAAGTGCTTCACAAGCAATTGCTCAAGCCTCTGAAACTTTATTACAGATCAAAAAAAGTAATAACCAATATGAGGGAGTGATTCCTTCATTTGAAGGGAATTTAATCTTCTTGGTTGTTTTTGCTTTAGCAATGATTCTCCATACTGGTATTGGATTTTGGTATAAGCAATGGTGGGTTATGGTTTCATTCTTTTGTGGATGTGGGTTAGAATTGGCCGGATTCCTTACAAGAACTTTATCTCATAACGATTATGATGTCGAAGATTACTTCTTATGTCAAATCATTACCTTAACTATTGCTCCTGCTTTCATTATGGGTGGTGTTTATATCTTGTTGGGTAAATTTATCATGATTTATGGTGCTCAATTTGCATTGATGAGACCAATGGCATACTCTTATATTTTTATGGTGTGTGATTTTATTTCATTGGTTATTCAAGCTGCCGGTGGTGCTATGGCTGCTAGTGCAGAAAATTTGGAAGATAATCAAATGGGTACTCATATCATGGTTGCTGGTTTAGCTTTCCAAGTTTTCTCAATGAGTGCTTATGTTATCTTATTCTTACATTATTTTTACAAGATTAATTTCTTCAATAAGAGTGGATATCGTGCATTATCTATTGATTTCAATCCAGCCTATAAACATTTAAGATCAAGAAAAATTTTCAAAATGTTCCCATATGTTGTCTTCATCTGTGTTGTTTTGATCTATATTCGTTGTATTTATAGAGTTATTGAATTAGCTCAAGGTTGGTCTGGTTACTTGATCACCCATGAATTGTATTTGTTCTTTTTAGATGCTTTGATGATTGCTCTTACTGCTTTCTTGTTGATTGTTTTCCATCCAGGTTTTGTGTTTGATGGAAGAAATACTCATGTTCAAGTTGCTCGTCGCTCCAAGAATACAGTCCCTGAGGAGGGCGTTCCTTTAGAAGAATTCAAACAAGATGGTGATTTCGGTGATGCAGAAGAATCAGGCTCAAGTAGAAGAGATGTTATTTAAGCCGTCGTCTGGTTAAAGCTATTGACTAGTTTATGCTAGGTGTCACCATGACAGTTTATTTCTCCTGTTTAGTGTATAACAGATAACTTTACTGATTTTTGACATCATTGTAGTAGAGAGAAAAACATTCTGTTTGTTGCAGGCCCTACTGGCTTTACTGTGTCGATTTCCAATTAGTAGCTATTATCAAGCGCGTGGAAAATTGACTATATTTTGGATAAGAAATTAAACTATGTAACATGATATTAATAATGAACGACTAAACTATACACAAATATTTACTCAAAATCACTTGCTGTGATGCTAGCACTCTCACACATTTCTCTGAAACGGCCACCTTTATGATATAGAGTTGCTGGTTCTTCAAATTCTTCAACTTCTCCTTTTTCCAAAACCAAAATTTTATCATAATTCAAAATAGTCTTCAATCTATGTGCAATACATAACACTGTGCAATCTTTGAATTCTGTGGCGATTGTTGTTTGAACAATTTAATCAGTGTGATAGTCAACACTTGAGGTGGCTTCATCAAGAATCAAAATTTTGGATTGACGAACCAAGGCTCTTGCCAATGCTACTAACTGACGTTCACCTAATGAAAAGTTGGACCCTTCATCTTCAACTTTACTCTCAAGATGGAATTTGTGATAATTGTCATTGGTCTGAAGCTTGATATCATCTAAATCATCACCATTAATCAAGCCACTTCTTCTCAAAGCATCCCATAATTTATCATCAGTGCACTCATTAAATGGATCTAAATTCTTTCTAATGTCCCCTTGAAATAAAGTCGGATCCTGAGGAATGATTGTCAACTTTGATCTCAAGCTGTGTAGCCCTAATTTGCTAATGTCAACACCATCAATTGTAATTTCACCACCAGCCAGTTCATTCAAACGATAAAGTGCTGTTAAGATAGACGATTTACCGGCACCTGTACGTCCACAAATACCAATTTTTTCACCACCATCAACATGTAATGTCAATCTTTTCAAAATAAGTGGGAGATTTTCACGGTATCTAAAAGAGACATTCTTGAACTCAATACTACCAGCAGACGGCCAGCTTGGATCTGGTGTAGTTTCAGAGATCATATATGGGGATTCTTGTTCCAAAGATGAAGCATAATGACAAATTCTTTCCACAGAGTTCATTTGGTTTTCAATTTGGGTGAATACATTCAAAATTGCAGCAAAATTGGAAGCCATTTCCATCATATAAGTTGTCAATAACCCCACACTAGCAGCACTAATCTTAAATTGTCCAGTAACAGCCAAAATAGTAACAAGGAAGACCAAAACACTTGCTAATGCATTAAGAGTCAAACTGATCCATCTTTGACAAACAAAAACAACAATGTAAACTTCATTTAACTTATCTGAAAACAAACTGTTTTTGTCAAGAAACCTTTCTTCGGCGTTATAAGCCTTGATTGTATTCATACCATTCATTACTTCATTCAAGTTGTTGAAAATGTGAGACCGAACAATAGCTTCCAATCTTTTAACTTCTCTTGAAGTTGCTTGATAGTAATTTGTCACACCAACGAATAAAATAATAAAAAATGGAACGGCAATTGCAAACCATGGAATGTAGGCAATAGCTAAAATAATGGCACCAACAATTGAAGAGAGCATATAGATAAATATTTTTATATTTTCAACAATCTCATTATCCAACGTATTGGTATCCTTTGAAAATCTGTTAATGACTCTACCAACCGGTGTGGTATCCATGAATTTCATTGGTGTATGCAAAACTTTTGATACAGCTTGAAGATTCAACACCTGAGATGCCCTAACAAGAACATATCCCAACAGTATAAATTCTGAAGCAGTGAAGAAAACCGTAACTACACTGAGCAAAACATAGATCCCCATATAGGTACCTTTTCCCATCCCTTTGAAATGATTATCAACCCAGTATGATAGCCAGACGTTTGTGAACAGGTAACAAAATGTACCAACAACAATAAGAGCAAATAATAATACAAACATTCCGAAACCCCATCCATTAGACCCAGCATTCAAATATTGTTTATAAACAGAAAGTGGAATACTATTGATAGCACGTTCTTCATTTCCATATAAAGCACCATTCTGTTTTTTCTTAGACTCTGGCTGGCCATCTATTGCATCTATATGATCTTTTGTTCTGTCTTTTTCAGGGTCTTCCGCATCTGTAGTATGTTTCATCAAAGAAACAAATTTCAAGTTTCTGGCTCTCAATTCATCCTCAGTACCAACGTCAATTGTTCCATCACCATTTAAAAAAACAATACGGTCAGCCTTTTTGATCAGTGATAATTGATGTGTAGCAATAACTCTGGTCTTATCAGAAAGGACGCCCAATAAGCAATTTTCAGTGATTTGTTTACCAACATTTGCATCAACTGCACTCAAAATGTCATCGAAAAGGTATATATCTTTATCTGTGTAAACAGCTCTTGCCAAACTCAATCTTGCCTTTTGACCACCAGATAAAGTGACTCCTCTTTCTCCAATTTCTGTCATATCACCAGCAGGCAATTCCTTTATATCACTATCAAAAGCACATGCTTTGATTGTGTTTCTGTATCTATCTGAATCATATTGTGTACCAAATAAAATGTTCTCTTTAATGGTTGCATTCTGGATCCATGGTGCACCACACAACAAAGCCGAGCCAGAGACACCGACATCACCACTAGTTTTCTTCATGAATCCAGTAATTGCTGACAATAATGATGACTTTCCGGATCCTATGACCCCTGTTATCACCAAAAATTCACCTTTATAGATATCTAAATTGATATCTTTAAGAACAAAATCACCTGCGGTTTTCTCATTGGTATCACCGTCGTTTAGCAAACCAAGTTCAATATCACCTTCAACTTTGTTTGGGTCAACTTTATCCTTTTCATCTTCATTATCAAAAGTTTCCCATTCAAAATCACCATGTAGGATCTTGATTGCAATATCCTTATCCTTTATCAATGAATCATTATAAAAACTTTCGAGATCAAACTCTTGCTCTGAAGATTTAAGGTACTTTGTGATTCTATCTGAACCAGAAATAGCATCCATCACAAATGATATTGTATAAGGAAGGTTGATAGATTGGGTAGACAACAAACCAAACAAGGAAAGTGACGAAAATATTCTTGCAGCATCTTGATCTTTTTTGACAGCTGATAAAACCAAAAAAGCAGTCATTGAAACAATAGATGGTGCACAAAATGAAAGAGAAAAAATGTAATTCAGCACATTTTGCACCTTATAAACATAGGAGACTTCGTTCTTTCTTATTTCTCTGACAGAAGCTTCATAAGCATTTTCCCAAGAATAAAACTTAATCATTTTCATAGATTGTAATATCTCTCTCATAATAGATACACGCTCATCAGTGTGGACATTTGCTTTCATTCTTAAATTCAACAATGATTTTGCAGGAAAAGAGACACTAACCATAATGAGAACATACACAGCAATACCAGCTAGAGCAGAAACCCCAATGTTAACAATAAGTATCGCAATACCAATTATCAAAGGGATTGGAAAACCTAAACCAAAAGGGAGCATAGAAAATCCAAGATCAATTCTTGATATGTCACCGCTGATTAGAGAAATGATTTTTCCACTTGGGAAATTGTGTTTGGTCTCAGAACTAGCAATGAATGATTTCTCTAATAAGGCTTTAGTTAAGATTGTTCTTGAATTACCACCGACAAACTTGGATAAAATTAAAGATTGATTTTGTAAAAATCCAATGATAATCATCATGAGAGAGACACCAAGACATAATCCGACACCACGACCAGTAGGAGTATCTGGAACGAGTCTTTTCTCTTCAGCAAATGAGATTAGATACCTGGTAACCAACGGTGTCAAAGCTTCAAAAGCAGTTGAGATCAATTTCATGACAACAGCAGTTGAATATTCCCATTTGTAGAGTTTGAAAATGGCAAGTATTATAGCAAATCTTGGGAAACTTTCTGAATCTGGATTTTTTTCTCTATATTTGGTCAAAATGGCATCTAAATTCTCTTGAAACTTCAAAAAAGCATTGTCGACTTTGAGGCTATCATCAAGATACCATAAATCAGAAGGTTCAATAGTTCTTTTGTACCCAATATTTAGCAATGGAAACACCCAAAACAGGAATATTTTGGAGAAAATGTTTGTTGAAAATAATGGTAAAGGCTTTCTTTCAGACTCTAACTTGGTTTGTGGAACATATTTCGATACTAATGGAGTGAACAACCGTTTAACAGGACGTTTGACTTCAACTTGCTCCTCAACATCTACTAGATGTAGTGACTTTTCATCGATCACAGATGCGTTGGAAGACATGTTGTAGTTGTTTGAAAACGTTTTGTGGAGAGCATCTTCAGGCATCAAGGGAGGAGCATCATAGAAGAAACTGATGCCCTTTTAACTGATTGTTGTTTATTCATCTGTGGCATATTAACGATTTTTGCCTATCGTTAAACCCGTTCGGATCAAACAGGTACCAAATATTAAGGGCCTAAAGCCACTTAATTAGCTGGAAAGATAAGGGTACACCAAGAGTTGTGTGGAAGCTTGAATTCTCTGGGAATCTGGGGATGCAGCATGCTTAAGCTCCATGGTCTAGCCTATGAGCATGTCGCTATTTCCTAGCAGTACAGCGTCTCACAATCACGATCCAGCATTTGTGATTTGTAGCTCAAATAGTCCAAAAAAGGAAAAACATGTATGGTTGCTTGATCACGATCACGGTACTCAAGATTCATCGAAATCATTGGACCGCATCACTATTTGTTATACAGTTCTAAATTGTGTAAGTGTCAAGGGCTCAAGCTGACACTCTGTCTTCACCTATCGTTTTGATCTAGAGTGGCTGCTGAGTCATCAAAACGCTGCCAACCTTCATGGTTGAACAGTGGACGTCGCGTATAACCACCAGCTACAATGTTTATATCAGGTGCTGATGGATCACTGAATCATTAGTTAGGCTGTCCCTATACTGGACGATATCTTGCAACTAGCAACTAGCTTTGTAGACGTCGAAGGTCTAATCGCTATAGCGTTTGATTTTATTGAACCTTATATATGACAGATAATTTTATTCTGTGCTGAAAAAAAGCTAAAAATAATTATATCAACAACGACAACAACAATAATAATAATGATACTTATAAGCACACCTAGCGTCCTTTTTCAAAACTTGAAGATCATGACTCTTCAACGTTAAGCCTCTGTTCTGAGGTGTGCTGCTTCATGTACTTCAATTTTCAAAGCCTCCGTGCAAAGTGCAAGATGGAACATTTTCAAAGGGTCGATATAAAGTTCATCGGACATTTTGAATGTTCATGAAACAGGAACTCCCTGAATGATAATGCCGGTTGTTTACAATATTCGAGCGCGTTGTTGTCGTTGTGCGACACGTTGGTGATGTTTACAGATGAATTCCGAATCGTATTTATTGTGCTTTGGACATATGGGCCAAAAATAGATTCCCTCTTCTTTTTGGTTATTGAAAGGTTTTTGTTTTCAGCTGATGATACTGAATTTTGGAAAAGCTCAAATTTTATTTGTGGTTGAAGGCTCTATGGGTGCTTATGAGCTGTCGGATAGTTGATGGTCTAGAGTGGTTGATTAGGGAAAGTTCAATTCAGGAAAATAATTAATCAGTATTCAAGTTATAGGTGGTGTTCATGTTGCTTCAAAACAATCATCAACTCAGCTGCTCAGCCCTTTACCAGGGTCCTACAAGTCGTGAAGAAAATGCATCAACTTATAACCATTGCTTCAAATCTGGCTAGCCTTTAGCAAAATCTATTTTAAATTTGTCTCCATTTATATTTTTAGGTCTTTTCAGGAATATCTATTATCGAGTGCTGTTCTTCGATTGATTGAAAGAACAAATAATGTGATGAGAAGGATATCAGTCGGTCGTTTTATAATGATGTTCAGCTAGACTATAAAAATATGCCAAAGGACCCTCTTTTCAGACGTTTACTTGATGAGCTTTGTATTTAACCAGAAGGAGCAAATTGAAATATAAAGTTAAAATGTCTAGTACAATCCATTCAGCTACCTCAAATTACCAGCCTTTGATTACAGCATTGGCTTCATAAATCTCATCAGTTTCAGAAATCTTGAACACCTATTCAACCGATGTTTATTGGCAAGGTCAATATTCCAAGTTGGAGGCATCTTATATCGCAGTATCAAACCAACAAATTCTCCAAACTGCAACAGCTTCCGAAGTTGTTTCAAGTGCTTCACAGGCTGTTGCACAAGCTAGTGCAACTATATTGCAGATTAAGAAAGACAACAACCAATACCAAGGAATGATTCCTTCCTTTGGCGGGAATCTAACTTTTTTGATCCTGTTTGCTTTGGCAATGGTTCTTCATGCTGGTCTTGGCTTTTGGTATAAACAATGGTGGGTTATGGTTTCTTTCTTCTGTGGCTGTGGATTGGAATTGGCTGGATTCGTTACAAGAACTTTATCTCATGAAAATTATGATATTCAGTCTTACTTCTTGTGTCAAATTATCAGCTTGACTATTGCTCCCGTTTTCATTATCGGTGGTGTTTACATATTGTTGGGGAAATTCATTGTAATCTATGGTGCTCACTTCGCATTGATGAAACCCATGGCATGTTCTTATATCTTTATGGCTTGTGATTTTGTTTCTTTAGTAGTTCAAGCTGCTGGTGGTGCTTTGGCTGCTACTGCAAGTACCAAACAAGATAATGCGGTTGGGACTCATGTCATGGTTGCAGGATTGGCTTTTCAAGTGTTCTCAATGACAGTTTATGTTCTTTTGTTCTTACATTTCTTTTACAACATAAGATTTTTCAATAAGAGGAAGCATGAAGAGATATTTGATTATTTCAATCCTGATTACGAACAATTAAGATCGAGAAGAATTTTTCAATGGTTCCCTTATGTTGTTCTCGTTTGTGTTGGATTCATCTACATTCGCTGTATTTATAGGGTTGTTGAATTAGCAGAAGGTTGGTCTGGTTATTTGATCACTCATGAATCATTTTTATTCTTTTTGGATGCTTTGATGATTGCACTAACTTCATTCACACTAGTGATTTTCCATCCAGGGTTTGCATTTGATGGGAGAAATACTGAAATTGACGTTGTTCGTGGTCCAAAAGAGGAAGCTAACGATGAAGGTGTTCCTTTGAATTGCTTGGACAAAAATGGGAACTTTACTGAAGAAGCAAGATCTTTCAACAGTGCAGTTTTCAGAAGAGATATAATTTAGATCAGATAGTTGGTGCTGATTATCGATCGTATTATTAATATAACAGTCGATAATGCATGCCTACTAATTCGCCAAATAATTAAATATTGTAGATATTTATATTTCTATCAACTAAACTTCAGAGGCCTTTAGAACTTTATATTAATATTAAAGCTAATTAAAAGTATCTAGCTGACGTAAGAATAGCTTAGTGTACTTATAACCGGGGGTAATCTGATAATTAATTAATATATATAATTGATTATATTAAATATAAATATTAAAGCGCGCTGGAGTCTTAACTGTACTAATATTGTTTAATTATAATTACTGCTGCATTAATATCAATATTCCTCAACAAGAGGCGAGTCCCACACTGTTCCGTGGTGGAGAATAGGTTTCTCAGTTGGCTGAGAAGGATATTATAAGGAAGCCTGAATTCCAACATAGCGAGAAGCCTACAATCCAAGCGGTTCGTGCGTAATTGCATTCCTCATCCAAGTTCATCAAATACTGCAATATCAACTAAAAAAAAAAATAATAATATTTGTATAAATTATTTGATATAATTTAATTAGCTGATGATATTCTATTATATATTCGATATCACAATATAGCGGCGCTTTATATACTCAGACATATTATATATTAGCGGCGACTGAAATTTAACCGCAAAAGTTGGCAGATGTCTCGGTTAATTACAAATATATGATGATTCCACAACTAGACAGGAATTACTTGCCTGCGTGGGCCCTGTAGTATGTAGTATGTACCCACGAGTCATCAGCCAGTAAGCCCATAATTCGTAACAAATAATCCGAACAGAGGATGTAATTATAAACATGCGTCAGTCTCAAAATTTAACAGGGAGCTGGGAACACTATAATGTTGTTATCTGTCCTTCAATATTTCATGCAAAGCTGTCATAAGACTGAAACAGGGCTCAGGGAGTTGAAACATCTTGTCGTCATGAACAAGCAACACTTCAGATACACTACACTCTATTTAGTTCATAACGTTCATTAAAGTTTTTATATTACAGTGCTATCTCTGCAAGATTGCTTGTTCAATCTTTTCGTGCTCCAGTTCTTCATTTCTGATCATTGGAGTTAAAGTTCCTTTGACATAAGTGCTATTCGTATTTTGATTTTTATCTAGGAAATTTTTGATATCGTCTTTGGAATCTTTTGAAAGCTCTCCAGCCTCATCATCTTGGGGAGCATCAGAATCATGATCAATCAGCTCAAAAAAAGGTTGGAATAATAAATTCCCTGTCTTGTTATTATCTGCAATTTTTTTCAACACATTTCCCAAAAGTACTTTCAAATCTGGGTTAAATTTTTTTGTTTTCTTCGTTGCTGGTTTCAAAACTAGTTCATCTCTATCCTCAGGTTCTACCAATTCTTTATCAGCACCGATTCCTTGACTTTCCAACTGATGATTTTTATTCATATAAAAAAAGAGTTCACGGGCCTCAGGTACAACGCCTATCCAATTAATAAATAAGGCTGTGAGTTCAATCCTATACTCCTCTAGGTCAATGGTTCCCTGTGAGGTTAATCTGTTGATTAAAAGACAAATCAACTTGACAATCTTCACATTTTTCTCAAACTCTGATAAATTTTGAATATATTGACTTTCTTCCAACCTTCCACTCTCATGATGTGTGTTTTTAGATAATGGAATCAAACAATTGTTTAAAAACTCATGCAACAACATTGATTTTTCGATCTCTGACAATTCCAAAGGGCCTTGTCTACTAAAAATATAATTATTGGCCCCAGTTTTATCTTTTTGTTGCTTTTCACCCCGAATGCCAATCAACAATTCAAAAATATAATTAATCAATTGGAAAGAAAGTGATAAATGGGTAATAAACCAAATTATAACCCTTCTGTAACCATGCGCCATTAACATTTCATCAAGCATTGCATAAGCAGCAGCTGGGTTGTATATCAACATAGGTTCAAAAATCCAATCATAGCTCCATTTTTCATAAATCTTATCTGGTGTAATAATTCTAACATCTGAAGTTTCCTGATCTTTTGAACCACCGGTTACACTTCTATTAATATCTTGTTCAAATTCTAATTTGACAGCTCTTGCAATTGTGAAAATAACTTTTTGAGCCAATTCATGAGAGATGGGTTCTTTGGACATTCTATCAAATACTTGTAGCAGTTCCTCCCAATCCAAACAAGTGGTATCGTCTAGTTTAATATCAGTGTTGAAAAAAATGTTACCACCTCTTGGAATATCTCTCCAATCACGACCCATTTCATCAAATTCAATATTCTCATCGGATCTAACCGCTGTCGGAACATTTTCTTTGGAAAAATTCTTAATTTGTTCATCCTTGTACTTTTGGATTTCGTCCAATTCTTTAGCCTCATCATCATCATCATCTTCTGGCTCTTCGAGAAAGACACAAGTACATCTTTTCCTAACAACTCTATGTAAATGGCCATCTTCATCTTCATAAACAATTGAGCCTCCATTTCTCAGCTCTTCTTGCTCTTCCTGTGCATCTTCATCGTCTTGGAAAATCTCTTCATAATGGAAATCTTCATATTCATAATCAAACATGTATCGTATATCTTCATCATAACGATCATTCGGTTCTAAATCTATGAGAGTCTCAACAACTTCATTTAAATCTGAGCCTAAAGCCAACATAGCACCGACATACCACCTAACATCAGCATTCAATGCACCTGAACCATTTCTTCTTCCAAATGGAGATAAAAAATTCAATATATTTACATGGTTCAAGTCATGAAATCTGTCTTCAATGTCATCATTAAGAATGGCGGCAAGGACATACCTAATTGAACTTGAGCCTCTAATAACTTGTTTCACAATATTGGGTGTACTCAAATCAGGGTCAGACTCTATTCTTCTATCAATTTCTAATCCCAGTAAAACTAAATTTGTAAAAATTTTCCAAAGTTTTAAAAAAAACCAAGAAATGGGTTTAGACATAAATCCTTGTTTTGATTGAAATATAGTTTGAAAATTGTAAAGATACAAACACAATCTATCATATAAATTAATCTTAAATCTGAATCATTTATACCATGTGGTGTCCATTCACCCAATCTCAACCTCCAATCAACTTTCAAGTCAGAATTGTTCAAGCTCCTTAGTTTCACCTCATCTTTACAATTTAATATACTTAAAGTTGATTCAATGATCTTGAACAAACTAGTTGATAATTCAAAGACTGGGATGATTGAATCTTGTTCATAATAGAGACTTATGATCATATCAGATATCACTTCCAATGATACCACATGTGTATCTGACTCGAAAGTTCTGAAGACACCTTTAAAAGAGGAATTTGGCTCCAAACAACAAGAAATGAATAGTGAGCTCTAGTTTAGACTCTAGTAGGAAGTTAGAGAGAGCAGGATTTCTATTTGTATTATTTTTCAGTTCTCAAAGCTATGTTCATTATATTAATCCCATTTCTAAAGCCCGGGATTGAAGATTGTGGGATATTGCGTGGCCGTTGCCAATCTGCTTTTTCTTTTGGTGTCGATAACGTCAATTCTGAATCAGCTTTACATGCTGACGATAAGAGGAGGCTAGAGCAGATTTTGGTTTGTTTTCTTAGCTTGACAGTGAAAAATCATGATCTGGTGAAGCATATTATATTATAGCAGCGAGGCTAAGCTGATCGAGGAAGGCGCTTCTCTATCTGCAATTTGCAGCTTATCTATGAGATCAGTCACGTGACCCTGAAGCAAAATTCGCGTCCAATTCAATAGGGTGACTTTTCGCGAATTTTATTAGGTCACGTGCAAGAAAATTCACAGTACGCTTCTCGGAAAAAAAATGGTTATACGTGAGTAGAATTGTATATGGTAATTTGAATTTACCAGCAAATCTTATTCAATTGAGAGTGTTATATCTAATAAACCCAAACTCTACGGCTAAATAGCAAGTCAGATTCACCATCACCACCTGAGTTTTTACAAAACCAATTGCACCAAGAAAGCAATTTGCTATAATCACATTGATATTCAAAGAACCCAAAACAAGTGCTTAAATACAGCACACACCATTCACAAACCACCATCATATTCCAAGATTAGTCACTCAAAGAAGAACAAGAAAAGAAGCTCCAAAGCTTCGAGCCAAAAGAAGTCACAACAAGTCCCTCAGAGGAGACAAAGTGATTTCGAATTAGACCATGCTCACCATGAAGAAGCTGAACATGATTTAGATGAAGAGTATGATCAAGAAGAAGAATTTGAAGAGGAGTATTCTTTTGATCTTCCCATTATACCATTCATATCACACGCAGAAAGAAGACATAAAGCTTTATCGAAACTTTTAAGGTTGAATGCTTATGAAGATGATGGTGATGGTTCAATTTCAAAATTATTTATTACAATAGCTACAATAGTGGACCCTATGACACAACCTATGGTTAAGGGACACAATTGTCGTGCCATATCGTTTGCAAAGGGGTGTCAAATCAAGTTTTACTCATATTTATACACTTTATTCTACTTTTTTTTTGGCTCTTTGGATTGAATACACATTTATTCAAAGATCATGATGCTCCCAACTCAAAGATTCATAGCTGGTGCTACTAAATCATCTTCTAGATCTCTTATACAGTCATGCGTCTTCAAGAGATATTCGTCATCTAGTTCATCTAGTTCATCTTCTCCAGACGAAGCCAACTCGTCACAAGCCCAAGAAGCCAAAGATCTTGAAAATGAAACAGAAATAAAAGCTTCAAGTGTTGGAGGTTCTTTAAAATCACCAATAAGCACACAAGCTCACACTTCAAGCATAGAAAGCTCTAGTACACCTACTCCACAACAAGACTCCACCCCATCATCATTTGTTGCATCTTCACCAAAGCACACATCACAATCAAAGAGGAAGTCTTCAAAGTCAACAAGATCCAAACCATTAACATATAACCTACCATATGTACCATCTACTCAACATCTGAATGTAGATCGTATCTTTGAAGATTCATTATACCAAGGTTTTAGACCATTAACAACTCCAATCAAAGATATGAAGAAATATATCTCATTAACAATCCCAGCACCTCCAGCAAAGAATAACAAAGCATATTGGAATACTTCTGCTTGTCAAGTGGAAGAATTTTCACCTTTAGATAGTGTTCCTAAATTCATTGGAGATGGAATGAAGGCATTCAAAGCACCACAACAACCAGGAAATGAAATCAGAATATACCCTCGTGATGATAGACATGTTTCTAGTGATCCATTATCTAAAAGATTTAGAAAATATGTTCAAAAAGAATTAGAAAAGGAGAGAAGAGCACTGGATAAGAAGAAAATTACAGCCTTCAGATACTACGATGATATAATTCATTAGTCTGGCTAATACCTTTGCTTCTGTTTCTTTTCATTTGGTTGGCTTTTTTGCGGTTACGGCTCCTTTCAGTACATCATATATTCATAGTTGATACTTAATTAATATTTATTTTGAACAATCCAGTTGTAACTACCCTCTCTCATCGTCATATCAAAGCATACTTGTGAGTGTAATATTTTATCAACCCATTATAACCTTTCAAATCTCCATTCTTCAATAAATTCGATATATCAACATTCAAAGGACTATTTGGTTCTGGGTCTTGTAGCAATAAAATGATGGCAACCATTGTGGATAACAATGTCCAAGCTGGAGTCCATTGTGCTTGTAAAATGTCCAAGCAAATCTCACCATTCTATTTATGTTAGTAAATGAAGTCCACAAGATATCGATTCTAAACTCACCTTAAAATTCACATTTGGGTGACATATCTTGTTAACAAATTCCATTTTTGGTGGTGAGATTGGGTAATCATGAGGTACACGTATCTTTATTTCCCATATCCCTTTCTCGAAGGGGCTCCCATTAGGTCCTCTTATTGTGGATTTCCAGTTAAATAAATCATTCAAAGGCTCTAAAGATATTATATTTTGGTATTCTTCATTCTTATCTAGTTCTTTCTGGATGTTTGAATATTCCTTCATCAACCTCTTTGCAGCCATTTTCACTTGTTCAAACTATACCTGATAATCCACAAACAGCTCAGCTATACTCTCAGCCCACTTTCGGATGGAAAAACGCGTCTTCCCAATACTTTTCCAATTGTTTATCCTATCAACAAACGCTTTATTTTAATCTCATTATTCTCCATTTTCAAAAAAAGTCGTGCACTTGACGAAAAATACTTTTCCGCGAATTTTTCCTTGCAAAATTAAATTCGACAGTTTTTTTTTAAATTGCCACTAGTTGAAAAGGGATTTGATCATCACCAAAACATCAAGGACAATTAATCAATTGAATTGACTCTTGGAATTAAATAATGTCTAAAGTTGCAGATTTCCTTTCAAGTGAGTTAAACCCGATTCAAAGCATTATGAAACGATAGTTTACTAACTTCCCTCTTTTTCAGAAATCGCTATTCCAGCAGGTATCGCTGTTAGTGCAGCTCAATATTCAATGTATGATGTTAAAGGTGGTTCAAGAGCTGTTATTTTCGATAGAATAAGTGGTGTTCAACAAACTGTTGTTGGTGAAGGTACACATTTTTTAATTCCTTGGTTACAAAAAGCTGTTATATATGATGTTCGTACTAAACCTAGAAATATTGCATCAAATACTGGTACAAAGGATTTACAAATGGTTTCTTTAACTTTAAGAGTCTTACATCGTCCTCAAGTGCAAAATTTACCTCAAATATACCAATCTTTAGGGTTGGATTATGATGAAAGAGTTTTACCATCCATTGGTAATGAAGTTTTAAAATCTATTGTTGCACAATTTGATGCAGCTGAATTAATTACTCAAAGAGAAGTTGTATCAGCAAGAATTAGACAAGAATTAAGTGAAAGAGCTAAAGAATTTAACATCAAACTAGAAGATGTTTCAATTACCCATTTAACTTTTGGTAAAGAATTTACAAAAGCTGTTGAACAAAAACAAATTGCACAACAAGATGCTGAAAGAGCTAAATTTGTTGTTGAAAAAGCTGAACAAGAAAGACAAGCTTCAGTTATCAGAGCTGAAGGTGAAGCTGAATCAGCTGATTACATTTCAAAAGCTTTGAATAAAGCTGGTGATGGTTTATTATTGATTAGAAGAATCGAAGCTTCAAAAGATATTGCAACCACTTTGGCCAACTCTAGTAATGTTACTTATTTACCAGGTGGTAGTCAAGGTGCTGGTGGTGCTGAGCAAAAAGCTAACCCAAATAGTTTATTATTGAACTTGGGACGTTAAGGAATTCAGAAATGTAAACAATATATTCAAAAGAGAAGTTGATAAGAAAATAAAGTTTTTCAAACCCATTGTATATAGAGAAAGAAAACCATTTTAGTTTCTTTATCAAACACAATCAATGACTTATTTATATCTATTTTAGTTGAAAAGACAAGAGATAGATCTCTCTTTATAGGTATTCCACCAACAATAGGAACGACGGACCGTGCAAATAGACAGAGCTTATACAGAAATGTGAAACCACATCGCTTCATACACATACATGTACGCCTTTGTAAATCATCACTCATCGAGCTCTAAAATTTGGTGAGAGGTTATAAGAGATGTTACGAAGTTGCACTGCACTAATATTACAATCGGACCTGAAAATTAGGCTGCACACAATATCGAACCGATCCATATACGAGACCCTGGGCCACTTCTTTTCACACACTTTTCAATAACTAACTACATAGAATATCATAGATCTAACCGCTTAAATCCATTGGATTATATAAAAAGCCAATGAATATGGCTTTTGACGTTTTTCTTGTGAAGCGGACTGATTTCCCAAAAAGGCGCCAACACCGCGTATTTTGCGAAAAACATCCACAGTTTTATGTCAAATAGCCACTGTGTTTATAAACAAACTTCACGAGACTTGAGAACATAAACAATGTGTATTTTGCATTTGTTCCATCGTTTTAAATTATATGGCTGCTAGGGGGCTAAAGAGAAATTAGTAATCTCATGCAACCCATGATTGATTGGTGATAGCAGGAAAAGTTTTCCAACTCGATGATCAAATTGGGTAAACTTTGTTACAATGCAAAATTGGCTGTCTAGATCAATTATGGGCCAGGTCTGATCTAAGGATTCACGAGCTTATGGTATTTAGCTCACACAATTTCCTGTTAAAAGTTGATAAACCAAGATTTGAAATATTTTAGATCAAGACAAAGAAAAGCTTAATATATTCAGGTAGACAATGGCAAATACAAGAGCAAAGAAAATTACAAAACACTCAAAGAAATTCGAAAGAACACAAACAGGATGTCTTCAATGCAGACAGAAAAAGTGGGTATTAATTCAAAACTTGAGAATCATCAAGACACTAACTAATATCTTTGAAAGGAAGAAGTGTGATGGTAAAAGACCAAGTTGTGAAAGTTGTATCAAGAGAGGCATTAGCTGTTATTTCCCTGCAAACATAAGAATTTTCCAGTATCAAAAGAAGCAGAATAAAGAATTTGTCTCAGAACCAACTCCAAAGAGCCTTGCAAAAAGTGATGCTGATTCCAAGATCGAGCCAATAAATTTCAAACAAGTTAAATTGGAACATCCAACCTGTAATACTGAACAAGACAAAAGACGTCCAAGTGTTGATGATGAACTGAAGGAGAACTTACTGTCACTTTCGGACAAAATTGAACAAATACTAGAAGTAAAAGAAGAACCAGACATTGAATCAATTCAACTACAATCAAGATCGGACTCAATAGCTTCATTGATTTCAGATTCAGATAATGATTCTATAATTTCAATGAATCAACCTAGAACCCCACCATCAACATCAACTTATGAAATAAGTGAGTCACAAAGAGCTACTAATTTAATCCATGAAGGTGGTTCGATTAATAAAATCTTGAATCAAATGACTATTGATTTGATCAAAAAATCGATAAACAACTTGCAATATATTGATTTCGAGAAAAAAAGAGATCTCAGCATACTTCAAGCTCAAGACATACTAGAAGAAGAACAATACAATAAATCACTAGGATACATTGATGAAGTTATGCCTGATGAATTGATATTTCATCCAGATGAGTATTTGAGTTTTGATTAGGTCGGAGATATGCGCACTATTTGAAAGAATCGGGGTTTTGTTGTGAGCTGGTCTCCAACAACAAGGGGAAATAAAGGATATTTGTATAGAATTAAATCAATTCAGGTCTTAAAGATTATAAAGAGTATATTTATTTAAAAAAATAGAGCCATTTCCACCTCTAAACCGCCATTTCGGCGGGAAAATTCTGGCAAAAAAAAGATCTTCCCCGCCAGGAGTCGAACCTGGAATCTTCTGGTTTCAGAAGTAGCTAGAAATCGTAGCCAGACGCCGTGACCATTGGGCCACGAGGAATAGATTCTGGTTTAAAAATTCGCTGAAACAGCAAGAGACTTTTTACGCCGTGACATTTACCCGGCATAGAGTCACGTGATATCATATTTTCGCGGCTATCTGCCACTGCGATTTCTTCCCCTCCTTTCCCCTTTCCAGAAGTAATAGCCTACAAATGTTATCAGTTGATTTGAAAACTCAACAAAACGCGTTGTGTATTCGTTCAATTGATCGTTTAAAACTGTTGATAAAAGAGGCTTCTGTTTGAATCCACAAAATGGACACAGCAATTAACAATTGAAAAGAGGAGAATCATTCTATTGAAACTTGTTATAAATACAACTCAAGTTCATGACCATCCCATGCTAATTATCCTTTTGCTTTAATCAAATCAAATAAACTATTGCTGTTGAAATCAATATCACAAGATCCATAATTGATCCACACTATATTATTCGGATAAACTATTTTGAAATCATCAAACAAAACAAGACTTTGCAATAGCGGCCAAGTGACACAAAATCCCAAAACTTGCAACATGTTACACAAATACAATAATAGTTCAAACACAAACAGCTTTTCTTTAAATACAAACTATATTGATGACTTTGATAAAAACTTGTTGTACAATTCTATGTACCCAAGCAAAACAAGAAGAAGCTCATCTTCATCATCAATCTCATCCATCCCTTATTCTATTGATCAATCTAGAAGAAGTTCTGTTGGTTCAATCAACTCAGAAACTGCTGGTGAACCTTTCCATCAACAGGCATTATCTACAAACAAGAATACTTCAAAGCCTCAAAAGAAGGATCAATCCTGGTTATTATTATTGATATTAGGTGCTTGAAAAAACCATTCTTTTCCATTATGCCTTTACTTTGTCCCACTTTTGATGAAGATACTGCTAAAATCTCAAATCCATATTCTGTTGAAAATAAATCTTTATTTGATGTGACTGATGTTGAGTCTTGTTATAGTGAACTTGAACTTGACAATGAAGAATTGGAAGAAAAAAAAGACCCAAATCCATTAAAATGGTTTGAAAATCCAGAACATAATAGATTTGCTAAAGTATTGATTAAGGATCTTCTTTTGATTGGGTTTACATTCATTATTGTTGTTATTGATCACATTTGTGCGCCATGTGAGTCTCTTTGTGCCTTTGTTTCATTTACACTAGGTGTCGTGGTAAATTGTTTCAGTATATTTTATAAAGAATATTCATCTAATCTAGCTTGGATTTCATTCTTCAATGGGGTTGTGGTTTCTATTATTGGCATCATTAATAATTTACATGTTCTATGGCTTGCTGGATTGTTGGAAAGTTCTGGGTATTTGAAAGAGGATGTTTTCAAAGCTTTTGGGATGGTGAATGAGTATTTACCATTTATAAATATTTTGGGGTTCATTTGTTTGGTTTGTCTTAGTGGGTACATCCATTACCTATTGTTGAAGTTGATTAATTGAGTTACTCAACTGATTGAAACTATTGGTGAAAATGAAGAATGGGGTCTTCCAATTAAGATAAACTGTTAATCATATATAAAAAAAAAGGACACATACATAGAGCTATACAATTTTAATATCATTCATGAGTTGTGATTTCATAATGATCATGGAGCTAGCTACCAAAAGGGCTGATCAAGTAGAGCGTACATTGTAGTTTTAGTAGGATTCTATCGATCGAGGGAAATCAGATTGAATGAGTTGTACCAAGATCCAAATGAACAAGTATATCCATCTGGTTTCTCGAAGTATCCCATCAAATGTATAGCCAATTGTAATGATTCATCGTGAACCCTCGAAGATAAGGATACAGTCCCAATCGGGGACTAACTCCACGTACAAGCAGGCCAGTTATAACTTCAACTTCAGGGCCCTTCAAACTCATTGACTCATCATGACTCAACTAACTACATCACTTGGCTAAGACTAATTTAATTCTCCCTGTGCTTTAAAACAGCCACGTCTTTTATCTACTGCTTTCAATTTAATTCAATATGTTGAAATTGAGGATTGTGGTGGCTTCGAGTTGAGAATTATCTCCGAAAGCCGTATAGACCAAATTAAAAATCAAAAATGGAGATTGAAAATTAGTATATAAACTCTTGACAAGTTCACAGGTGTTAAAAAAGATCTATATTTTACTAACAACAACCAATTACCAAAATGACATTCGAAGACAAGTTTGAAACACTAATTTCAGAAAGAGCAAGAGCTAGAAAATCTCAAGCAGGTTTTTATCAATCTGTTATTCCTCCAGAAGTCGTAAAACATCCAAATCCATTGCCTTTAGGAGGAGGTTGTCCTGATGAAGGATTCTTCCCAGTTGAATCAATCCATTTGAATCTAGTTGATGAACCTTTCCAACATTTGAAATATGCAAATAAGAGTGCACACACGAATTTAAAAGATATCAATATTAAGGATCAAATTCACAAGATTAATGATACTCATACAAATCATACTTATCGTTATTCTTCAAATGATGATGAAATTGACATTGCAACTGGGTTTCAATACTCTTGGGGTGCTGGTTTCCCTCAATTGAGAAATTTTTCTAAAAATTTAATCAAAAGAACAAATAAACCAGCTTATGAAGATTGGGATGCAATTATTACAAATGGTTCTGGTGATTCCCTACATAAAATTTGTGATTTATTAGTGGAAACTAATGGTACAATTTTGGTTGAAGAATTCACTTTTACTCCTTTCAATTCCACTGCTGGTAATTATAACGGGACTGCAATCCCAGTTAAATTAAACATTAGACCAAAAGATGGCAAAGAACCAGGTATTGATCCTGAATATTTAGATGACTTGTTGACTAATTGGGATTCATCAGATTACAAGGATTTACCAAGACCAAAAGCATTATACACGATCCCAACTGGTCAGAATCCAACAGGTCTAAGTCAATCTTTAGAATTGAGAAAGAAAATTTATGCAATTGCTGAAAAACATAATTTCATCATTGTGGAAGATGACCCTTATGGCTACATCTCTTTACCAAAATATGGTACTCCAAACGTTTATGAAAATGAGGGAAAATTATCTAATGATGACTATATCAAAGACTATTTGAAACCTTCATATCTAACTATTGACACTTCAGGAAGAGTCATTAGATTAGAAACATACTCAAAATTATTTGCACCAGGTTTAAGATTAGGTTTCATTGTGGCAAACAAATATTTCATTGAGAAATTATCATTATACACTGCATTATCAACAAGGGCACCATCTGGTGTTTCCCAATTATTATTCAATAACATTGTTCAAAATTGGGGTGGTGTTGATGGTTGGTTGAATTGGGCTAAGAAAATTGCCAAACATTATACAATCAGACGTGATTATTTCCTCAAGACTTTATATGATTCAAAATCGTATTCTAAAAACCAATTTGAAGTCGTGGAACCTGATGCTGGTATGTTTATTATCCTTTATGTCAATATCGAGGAAAAATTCCCAGATCCAGAGACATGGGAAAAAGTATTGGATCAATTACGTTATAAAACAGTTACAAATGGTATTGATGTTGTTTTCGGTAATAGAATGACAACTGATTTGAATTTTAAATTCACTACACCAAAATCTCATTTCTTGAGGTTAACAATTGCTGCTGTTCATGATAATGATGAAATTGTGGAAGCTGCTAAAAGATTATCAATCTCAATTGAGCAATTCTTTGAAGATTTAGATGCTGGTAAATACGATCATTTGAAATGATAATAAATCATCTATAAAAAAGATATTCTATGCAATTAATTATTATTTAAAACTCTATCAAAATGCTTCTAGTTCTAGTGTACAAAAATATATCACATATGTAGTCCTTAGTTCAATAAAGATTTATGCTTATCATGAACTTTTTCAATAGCTTGATTGATCTCATCTTTACGTTCTTGACTAATCCATGAACCATTAACACCATTTCTAGCAACTCTGCACCAAGTTTCTAAACTCCAACCAAATCTAGTATGAACAGTGATATAATTATCCAAGATATACCCACCGAAATAAGCTGGATCATCTGAATTTAAACTGAATGGGACATTGGCATCAAGGAATTTATTTAATGGTAATTCTGAAACATCTTTGACAACTTGTAATTTAACATTAGATAAAGGACAAACGGTCAACATTGTTTGATCTTTAGCCAATCTTTCCATCAAGGCAGCATCTTGAATTGAATTAACACCATGATCAATACGTGTGACTTTCAAAAGGTCTAATGAAGTGACAACATAATCAGCACCACCTTCTTCACCAGCATGTGCAGTGAGTTGGATATTTGAATTGATTTGTTTAACTTTTGAATAACAATCTTCAAATAATTGTGGTGGGAAAGGTTTTTCTGCACTATCTAAACCCAAGGCAGTGATAGTACCATCTTTAATGAAAGTTTTAGCACTTTCAATAGTTTCTAAACCATTTTCAGATGGTAAATGTCTCAATAAACACATGATTAATCTACTAGTTAACCCCAATTCACGTTCAGCTTTATCACATGCTTTTTGGAAACCTTTAACAACAACTTCAATTGGAATATCACGTTCAGTATGGGATTGAGGATCAAAGAACACTTCACTATGCCAAGTACCATCTTTATGAGCTTTTTGGAAATATGCCCACGCTAGATCAAAGAAATCTTCCTCTTTAATCAAGACATTACACCCAATGTAATAATAATCCAAAAAATCTTGTAAATCTTTAAATTGTGTATAACGTTTGTTTAATTCTTCAACATTTGATGGGAAATTTGAAGGTAATTGAATTCCATTTCTTTCAGCTAATGGGAATAAAAGATTTGGTTCTAAAGTTCCTTCTAAATGTAAATGATGTTCACACTTTGGTAATTCTTTCAAGAAGGATTCCATGTGATGGTTACACTCGTACTTGGCCATTATGGTGCAATGAGGTATTTGAATACAGCTCAATTGGGAGGTTTCCAGTAAACAGAATTGAAGAAGAGTGAAAAATTTTAAGCTATTTTTTCAATCTGGATTCCGTATGTTATTGAAATTTTTTTTTTGAAATGCCGATGTGTCAAAATTTCTTTTTCCACGAACGGTCCGAAGGCATGCCGCGGCAATGGCCTTTGTCGAAGTTTTTGAAAAGACGTTGAATTTTTGTATTGAAATTGGTTAAATTTGTAGTTGAAAGTAACCATCTTGATACTAATTAAAGTCATTAGGTCTTACGTTCAGACTATGAAGCTCATGGGGGTAATGTTTGTTGCTGATGTGATGTTTCATCCACTCATGCTTCATTAATTGGGATCTAATTTACCTCATGGAGTAAGCCTAAGGGAACACTAAGTATCGCTTTCGAACACAAACCTTTTGATCAACATTAGAAATGACAGAATATGGCGATTTAGTAGATGAGACCTTGAACGGTATTGGTGACTATATTATAGAGATCACTAAAAGTTCACAATGATAATATTTATTAATGGTCATGAAGCTCGTTGAAACTTTGTCAGGCATCCACGTAAAACCTCAGATTACTGGCTGGGAATGACTGATATGAAAGAAACAATTGCTCAATTTGATGAATTGATCAAAGACTTCAGTATTCAACTACCAACTAAGAAACATAAAGTATAGGAATTGAAGTTTTCACACTTTGTACTGCTCATTTGGATGACAAATTCTGTATTTTTTACTGTGTCGGTTATAAAGCCATGAAAATTGTATAAAAGGGATCCACAACTTTCGACTTTTCAAATGTAGTTGTATAATGCTTCAAAGCCTGAAAACACTATTCAAGCCAACATCAATTGCCATAAGAACAATGTCTACACAAATCCCAAAGACTCAAAAAGCCATCAGAATCCACGAAAGTGGAGGATGGGACGTTTTACGTTATGAAGATGCCCCAGTCCCAGAAATCAACGACGACGAAGTTTTGATCAAAAACAAATATGCTGGTATCAATTTTATTGAAAACTACTTCAGAACTGGGTTATATCCTGCTCCCAAACCTCAAACCCTTGGTAGAGAAGCTTCAGGTGTTATTGTTGCTAAAGGTAAGAATGTTAAAGAATTTGATATAGGTGATAATGTGGCTTATGCTTCGCCAGCAACTTTTGCTCAATACACCAAATACAATCCAGCTATAAGAATTTTCAAACTACCAAAAGATGCGTCAGAAGAGAAACTTCAATTATATGGTGGGTTATTCATTCAAGGTTTCACTGCCTTAACGTTTATTACTGAGGCATATGATGTTAAAAAAGGTGATTATATCTTAGTCCATGCAGCAGCTGGTGGTGTTGGTTTAATCTTGACCCAATTGATTAAAGCTCGTGGTGCTCATGTCATTGCTACGGCTTCAACAGATGCAAAATTACAATTGGCTAAAGAAAATGGTGCTGAATTCTTAATCAACTCTAAAACTGAGGACGTTACTAAAAAAGTTTTGGAAATCACTAATGGAAAAGGTGTTATTGCAAGTTATGATGGTGTTGGTAAAGATACTTTTCAAATCTCATTAGACTCTTTAGCAAGAAAGGGAACTTTAATCTCATTTGGTAATGCATCTGGCGCTGTCCCGCCTGTTCCTTTAACAGCTTTGAACCCAAAGAATTTGAAACTATTGAGACCTACCGTCTTCAACTATATTGCTGACAAAGAGGAATGGGATTTTTATTCCAAAGAACTTTTCGATCTTGTTGAATCTGGGAAATTAAAGCTTGATATATCAAAAATCTATCCATTAAGTGACTACAGACAAGCTGCTGAAGATTTAGAAAGCAGAAAGACCACTGGTAAGTTATTGTTGGAAATTCCTCAATGAAAAGTTGATGTTATAAGCTGTTGATCAGCTAGATTATACAAGTATTCAGTTCTAATAAAAGCTAAACAATGAATTTCTTTGATGTAGCTTCTCTTTCCAGATTTCAAGGTTATCTGTGGCGAGGTTTGATACTGTCGAGTCAATGAGATACTGAAAATGGCAAAATATATGTTCAACCTAATGCTTAAGCATCTCAGTAGTTAAGTATTAAATAGACCATTTAACAGATTATTTAATAGATAGCATTATAATTATATGGTTAGTTGCCCTTGTAAATCGCGATTTTTTTAATGGTCTTCAAAATTGGTGTCGACTAGTTCAACATTGAAAATATCATAGATCAAGAGACAGATTCCCAGGATAAAACACGCATATTCATAAACCAAAATGGAACTAGTATGTTAACATGGTAATTTCCAGTGGGTCTAGAGAAAAAGCTCTGACAAATTTTAGCTACCGGAAGGTCAAAATAACCAAGTTGAAGTCACATTTGAAGATCAAAAAAAGATAAATGAATTCTCAAAATTGATCCAAAAGAAAGATTTATTAAGTGCTGAATTGACAAAGCAAAAGCAAGAGAAAGAGTATTTAGATGATGTCTCTATGGAAATTGAATTGATTGATGAAGATGAATTGGTGAATTATAAAGTCTCAAGTGTATTTGTTAAAATGAAGCAAGAAGATGCCGTTGAAAAATTGGAAAAGGATAGTGAGATCTTGGATGGTCAAATAAGTGAATTAGAAACCAAGCTAGAGGATATAGATGACAAACTATCAGAATTGAAGACACAATTATACACAAAGTTTGGTGACAATATCAACCTTGAGCGTTAATGAAAAGAGAAAAGCTTGTATATTGAACAAATTGTACTACAAATTTAATAACCATAAGCGTTTTCTCATGAAGTATTAAAATATCATATCATAAAACTCATAACCTATTATATCCAAAATATTATCCTTTCCCATATAAATTACCTCATACAACCGCCTTTTAAAAATATCACTAGCCCAAATAATCTCATTTAGAACCATCGTTAATAGAAACTGTTGAATCCTTTTCAATAATAAACGGGTATTTAGTATCTGATAGCTTTGCAATAGCTTCGACCAATCCATTATCTGGAATATTGAAAGAAAACCCTGTCAAAACTGTGGTGTATTCATGTGTGATTTCACCACCTAAGGCAATGATTTTGTCCTTAACTAAAGTAACATATCTAATGAATAGTTAGTATTCAGCCAAATCCACACTACATGTCGATTGTACCTACCTATTTGGAGTTAACTGTCCCTGTTCAAACGCAAGAATATATGAATCTGAGCCTCATGTTAGTAACTGATACTTCAATGTCTCTCCAACTCGAAAAAAGAACACATACTTGCAAATGCAAATGAAACCAACGAGAACACAAAGAGTAACGACTTGAAATTCATTCTTATATTGCTATTTTGTTGTACTAGTATTGTTTAATACTTGACGCCTTCAGAGAACAATTTCTTATGTGTCTCCGAGTTTCGCTGGTTTTTTATCGTTTTTAGATATGCACGTGACCGTACATACAAATGAAGTTTCAAAATCAGAAATCGTTCATTAGAAACACATCAAATTAAAATTTTATAGGTCTGGGTTCAAAATAAATTGACAAAAGTACTTGACAGCACTATAAATTTCTTTACCGACAGGGATGATGAATTTTGAAGGTAGTAAAAATCCATGTGAACCAGTATCTCTTAGTTTTAATTGGAATGCCCAATGTGCTCTGTTATGATACATGTAGTCTAATGATGAACCAGCACCAAGGCCAGGTAATAGATCAACACCACGGTCTTTACAAGCTGGTAAGACTTCATAATGTTTTCCACTTTTCAATCTAATAGATTTTGCTAGACCATAAGCTAATTCTAATAAATTTTCAATATCTCTTGGATATTCATCACAAGAATAAGCATACGGATAAAGGATTTTCTGAGTATATGAATGGAAGTCCAAGAATCCATAAATAATATGATCTGGTTTTGTGATATTCACATAATGATCCAAATTTTCAGCTTCCATAGCTTCAAACTGTGCTTCTCCACTATAAGATTCACCACATGGGAAATCTTCTGATCTTGTCCAATGATAACCAAATGAATGATCGATATCGATACCGAAACATCTTGGAATGTAAGTTTCTTGACGATTCTTTCTCCATAAACGATCAGTTGTCCAGGTATATTCATAACCATCTGGATTGAAAACTGGGATAATTAAAAAATCCAATTGATTTAAAAAATTTGTCTCTTTTTTTGAAGATCCATATTTGCTTAAAAGTTGATAGATGGTGAAAAGAACAGTTGAAACACTAATCCATTCTCTTGCATGAACACCTGCAGTCATAACAATTGTTTTCTTTGTTGGGTTCAATCCAGTTTGTGAACTTAGATGAAGCGCTTTCAAATCACGACCTTCATAACTTTGTCCCAACCATTCAATTTCAACAAGATCTGGATATGTCTCCTTCAAAATGTCTAGCCAGGCATATATAGTGGATAAAGGTCTATATTCCTTGAAGAAAATATCACTTTCAGTATGGAAATCAGATTCTTTATTTATTTTGAAATCGGTACCTTCAGGTTTTGGGTATGTTTCATAAATGGTTTGAGCTAAATCATCTATTATGATTTTATGATTGCCCACTTCTTTGATGGTTGATAAATCAGAATCTGGTATTTTCAAATCAATAAACTCTTGATTATGTTCCCACTGATCGTAATTTTTCCTGAGTTCTTCAATTATTTTGTGATTAGTTTCATCATAATAAAACCTTATTATTTTGTGATTTTCATATTGAGATAAATCAGTTGGTAGTTGTGAGATGTCCTTAGTTGAATAATGATTATCAGGTTTTGGATTTTGAAAGAATGATTTGAATTGATTTACTACCTCTTTATAATCCTTATCGACAATTTGAAAGTTGTCTAGTAAGGGCATTTGTAATGCAGCACAAAAAGCGACTAAGCCCAGTGTCACTGGAACTAATTTGCTGAACCTCATGAAATGTATCTTTTAAGTATAACAGGAACGCTCAGAACCCTCTAGGAGATTGTTGCCTCAGAATTAGGCATAACCTTTTGACTGTGATGGTTTTTTTTTCGAAAAAGGCGGTCAAGAAAAAAACTCCGGGAAACATCTCAAAAGGGGAAATTACTCGATATGGACATACTGTCAAATTTAAATCATTATCATTAATGTCGACGTTATAAATTATAAAACTTCATACTTTCACCAGTCATAGATCGATTGACAGCTGCCTGTATAATTACTGAGCTCATCGATTTGATACTCATCAAAATCAATGAATGATTCCGGAGGGATATTTGTGCAAAATTGCTTCACTGGTGTGTATTTCAAGAAGCCAATGTCAACTGTGTCACCTGGCTCCAAGTTGTGAATGTAGAGCCCTAGTGTCTCCAGCTGAGGAATACGCCTCGATAAATCTGGTAGTTGAAGCCTTGAGTTCTCTAGCTTCTGTGTGTTTTCAAAAATGAGGGATAGAACCTTAACATTGTCCAATCTAGTTTTCAGCAACATATCAAGCTCATTTGCCATAGATAAATCTTCAACTTCCATATCATCATCTTTCATCAAATACATAGGCACTGTTGGATAAAACCATTCTTTCTGGATATATACTTTCAAGTTTTCAACATTTTGCAAAGACCGTGATTGTTCCAATTCAGCAAGATAGACGGGACTAGGAACAACGATTTTCTCCAAAGAAGGAAAGCAGCCACCATCTAATACCAATGTATTTAATATGCCCCTGATTGTATGGTTTAACGATAAAAGCTGGAGGCTTGGAGCATATAAATTCTTGATATACGAAGTTTTGGTCATTTGAATATCAAGCACCTCCAATGAGTCCAACTCACAATTGACAATACCCGGTAACCTTGCATCAGGATCAATACTGATGGTTTTCAACTTGGGAAATTTGCAATTACTCATCATCAAAGAATAACCAGCTGATAATTTTATCTTTTCCAAATTACATAGTTCCAAGTCTTCCAAATCTGAAAAGCTATTAATTCCAAGCCTAACCAAATTTGTGAAATCCCTAACGCAATTGGAGCTCAAATGTGATGATTTAACTTCAAGAACCTTCAAATTTGGGATTTTGAACTTTTTTAGAAATGCTTTCCTATTACCAAAATCAACATAGAGACTTTCAAGGTTTGGTGCATCAATGGAAAAGTTCATTGAATCATAGAATTTCTCAAAAACTTCAGCAGAACCTAGTCTTTTCGCATTTGATATTTTTATACCAGCACTATATTCATTACCATTGAAAACAGCTTGATTGAAAAATCCTCTAGGCAATAACTCTGTTTGGAAGTTGATGAAATGTGTCCTTTTGTAAAAGATCATTCTGTTTATTATCCTCGGAAGGAAAGCTTCACCAACTGGCGCACATATATTGATAATGAAATATTGATAGTTATGGATTGATTCTTCATAAGTAGCTAAATGGAAGGTATGTAATGGTGACTCTTTCTTTATTCTTAAATCATCTGTCAAGACACAAAGGGATCTGTCAATCAAGGGCTTAAATTGTGGAAGGAAGACCAACGTCTGGAAATCTTGGAAAGGATCAAGATTTGAAAGAATAAGACTCAATATCTCATTAGGTAGTTCAAAAAAGTAGCTCATATCATTATAGTATGATTATATTGAAGATAACAATACTGAACCAAAGTATGGAGAAAGGTCATTTGTAAAGTTGACGCTTATAAAATCAACTTACGAGGGTAAATAAGCGTGACCTAGCGTAATCCGAGCTACTCTATAGAACCTAATTGAGATTGTAAATCATAAGATAAAACTTTAGCTCTTTTAGCAGCATTTTGTAAATTTTCACCATTAATATCCCAACCACTAACGATTAAATCATTTGGATCAACTAAGGGTAAAATTGAGTTGAATGGAACATAAACATCCTTACCAGATTCATCAATACCAATTTTAACAGTGGAAGCTTGAGTAACTGAACCAAAATAGTTTGATTTAATTTCACCATCTTTTGTATTAAAGACAATTTTTTGTTTATTTGATTCCACAGCGGAAACAAAAGTAGTACCATTATTACCACCCAAACCAACTAATAACAAACCAACTTTTGGGACTTTCAAATCAACTTGAAATTCATAATCTTTAGTGAAAGGTTTAACTGTATAAGTTTCACCTTGTTTTGAGACAATTGAGTTTTGATAGGTGTAAGAAGAAGTTAAAACAGTGTTGTCACTGTTATACTTGACGTTATCATTTGAGACTTTTAAGGAAACCATTGTTGAAGTTAATTAATGAAAGATTATATGCCCCAGCCCTGAGTTTGAAGTTGAACGTTTGTTGTTGTAAGGGTGGTGTTTTATTTCTCTATCCACGGTGAAAAATGTTTTCAAACGGTTCAAATTGTATGTTGTGATTAACTGGTTGTCTGTCCACAAGTTTGTTGACATCAAACATGAGCTTGTAAACCATATGTTTGTTTCCACTAGGATATACTTTATACTTCAATGGACGTTTTGGTTTATCATGAATCATTTCCTCAAGATAATTCAACTGGGAAACAAAATCACTAATCTTTGAATTTTCGACCCTAACAGATATAGTGAAGAGCTTCAATTTCCATGGAGCTCCGAGTATACTAAAGATTTTCAAGACATTTTCATACTCTTTTTTCAACTTCCATTTAGGACCATGCCATGTTAAAATAGTTAATTTTTCTAGATTTTCAATCTCTGTAAGCTGGTGTAAATATGAAGCTTGGGAAAGTTCCAATTCTTTTAAATCACGATCAGTATGAATCTCATCAATTTCACTCCCTTTTTTCATGGGCAAAAACCCAGTGATACTAAGTTTTTGAACTCCTTCAACTATCAAATTCCATAAATGAAGTGGTGAACTAGAATTAATACTAAATTCTTTAAGAGAGCCACTAGACCCAAATATAGAATTAAGAATTGACTTGATCCCAGGATTTTTATCCTTTGTTTGAAGAATTGTCAACTTTGGAAACGAACAATTTGCAATATCAACCGAATATGTAGTATGTAGATTCAACCATCAACTTGAAAACTTTCAACTCACGCAATTCCAAATCATCTATACATATACTTTTCATTGGTGGACAATTTGGAGCATCTGTAAAAGTTAGTGAAAGTACTTGTAATTTGGGGAAATCATTCAATCTTTCTAAATTACGAAAATTTCTTTGATTAACCCCCATATGGAAAAATTGAAGATTTGGGGCTTGAATCTTTGCTAAAATATGAGCATAACCGTATTGAGGACAAACAACAAGTTGTTTCAACTTAGGAGCATCCACTCTGGCTGTCATGCCTCTGATTTCCTCATAGGATCCAATATGCATATAAGGTCTGTTTATAACATCTATTGAACAGATAATCTTGGTATGAGATGGGAGATATATTTCTTCTCTTAAAACATTATGCCAAAACTCTGTAGGCCATCTATTAGAATCGAAAAGCTCCAAAGGTACTCCCGATGGGTTACGATAGACAAATGAGAATGGTCTATCAATGGTGAGTATAATATAACCTTCCTCCTGTATAAACATGTTGGATGTTGTGCGGGAGTATTCGACAATAAGATACCTGTCTTTGTACTTGTTTTGTGGGATATATTCCACAACAGGGACATCATAAAGTTCTTGAGTAACTGAGGGGACACCTGTAATATTTTGTCTTGCTTCTCTTTGTATAAGTAGTGTTCGATCAATTATTGATTTGAACTGAGGAAATTGGTAAAGTGAAATATAAGCATCAACTGACCTTTCTGGACAATCTTTTGAAGGACAGTATTTGGGAGGTCTAAAATGTTCATCTTTGATAGCAGTTATATTCAAGCAAAGGGATTGGAGGTAGTGTTGTAATGACTTCTGAAAAGGTTTGAGCTTTACTTTGAGAATTTCATAGAAAGCCTTTCGCGAATACAGATTTAATTTTACAGAAACCTCAAAAACTCAAGGAAGCCATCAACTTATTTTAGCTGTTTCTAAATAACCTATTCGCTTCAAGATCCAGCACTCAAATCAAACGCAATGACAGAGATTCATATGATGCCACACTCGTCAGATTCTGAATCTGATTATGATGTTCCAGAAATTGATGAAGAAGGTAAAAGAGTATTCACCTACTCAGGACCAGCATTAGGACCAACACCACCAATTGCATATAGATCACATTTATTAAGATTAGGAGCAGAATCAAGAAGAAACTATATCAGACTTAGAAAACCACTAGCCATATTGGAACATTTGGCAGCAATGCCCGTGTCTGCTATACCTGATGAGGAAACTTTTGTTAGGCTTTATAATTTATTTGATGATGGTATTATCAAGTTTAAATTGAAGAATCCTATACCTCCAGAACTTGATGAAGAGATGCAAAGGGCAAGAAAAAGTTATATTGATACATGTAATTTGATGTGTGGTATGACTACTGGGTTTGATTATCGTAAGGCATCATTAGCTACTCGGATTACAGAGGTGACTTCAGATGATGAAGCAGTTACAGAAATGGCAGCAGAAGAATATGCGGAACGCTATGATTCTGAATTAGAAGATTATCATGATTTATGGATTCAGGTTTATCAATTCCCTATTTGTGATCCAGAAAAGGCTTATAGGTTTTTGTTAAGTTTAAGAGGTGATTGGGTTGGGTTTTTGTTCAAGTATTTCCGCTATTTCAGAAATGGTGATGGTTTGCCAGATTTTGATGAGCTTGCTTTCAGACATTTACCTGAATGGGCCCGTCTCAAGGAAAAAGCTTTTATGAAAAGGGCCAGAGAAGAATATGAAGAAGAGCTTGGAGAGAGTGAAGAAGAGCTCAAAGTGCCAGAAGACTCAGATGAGGAAGAAGATGGCTTTGGTTCATATGTACCTCACATTCACTACTCTGGATTTGCTCAATTTGTTCCAGCATTACCTACAAATGAAGATATTGATGCTAGACTGAGTGGGATTAATCTAAGGGGCTCAGACAATCCAATTCCAGAGGATTCGAATAGAGGTGGAACAGGTAACAGAGGAAGAGGTCACAGAGGCAGAGGCAGAGGACATAGAGGTGGATGGAGAGGCAGAGGTAGAGGAAGAGGAAGAAACAATGGAGGAAACACACTCAGAGGAGATGTTACACCACCTCCAAGATTTAACAATAGTAGACCATCAAGAACCTGGAGTGATGCTTTGGTTTCTCCAGAATGATCAAGAGAGCTAAGCTGAATGATGACATGAATGGAAAAATGCTATAAATTCAACAAAGAAATGTATTCAATTAGTAGAAACAGCACTACACTGATGGCCCAAAGAGACCCATTCTTTCGGGTCCAGGTACCTTTCCAACTGACATGTAACTTTAAGCATCTCGAACATCTCCTATTAAAACGGGATTAAAATAGACAGAGTCAGTTCTGTTTTTTGTTCAGGTTTGACTTCTTTTTAGATGCGATTGTAAAGCCGATTGATGGTGATCTGAGTTGTAGAGGGACTCATGGAGAAATGAAAAACCTGGAGAAACAAGCTGAGAACAGCGCAACTAAAGCTCAGAACAACCCAGTTACAAGTCAATTGACCCTTGATCTAACCTATTCTCTCTTGTCGCATAGATGATCCAATGGTCATCGTGTCAAGACTGTGTTTAAAGTGGGCACAGGTCATGAATCTCGAATCTCTTTGATTGCACAATGTGTTCGCGAATGGCACTTTAAGCTCGGTTCAATGCGTGAGGCCTAATTCAGATTAGACGTTTGGAGGGGCGCCCATTGGAAAGTATAAAGACGAAGAGAAATCCAAGATGAGCCAACCGACAACAGCACCATCATCAACATCAACTAGAAACCACTACAATGGCTGAGGAAGTGGACTCGCTCTTGGTGGACAACGTCAAGTCAATCGTCGCTGGTGGTGTCGGTGGTGTAGCCGCCGTGGTCACTGGCCATCCGTTTGATCTAGTCAAGGTTCGTCTACAAAGTGGCCAATACCCAACCATGTTGACCGCTGTGAAATCAATCTTGAAAACATCTGGACCAACTGGGTTCTATAGAGGTGTTGTGCCTCCATTGGTCGGCGTGACTCCAATGTTTGCTGTTAGTTTTTGGGGTTATGATATGGGTAAAAACATTGTATCTTCTTTTAGTGGTGGTAAACCTGCCGCAGAATTCACAAATGCTCAATTGAGTACTGCTGGTTTCATTAGTGCTATTCCAACAACTTTAGTGGCTGCTCCAATGGAGAGAACCAAAATTGTCTTACAAACTCAAGACGCAAATGCATCAAAATCAATGATTTCAGCCGTTCGTAGAATCTTAGCCACTGGTGGTGTAAGATCGTTATTCAAAGGTTCAGTGGCAACTTTGGCAAGAGATGGTCCAGGTTCTGCTATTTATTTTGCAACTTATGAAATCGCCAAAAAGGAATTGTCTAAATTAAGTGGTGCTAAATCTGATGAAATGAGTCTCGCTGCTATTTCAACTGCTGGTGGGTTAGCTGGTGTTGGTATGTGGGTTGTTGTTTTCCCTATAGATACTATAAAGACAAGAATCACAAGTAATGTTAATGAATCAATTGGTGCCAAAGAGGCAATTTCTTCTATCTATAAGAAAGCTGGTATAAAAGGATTCTTCCCAGGTATAGGACCTGCTTTATTAAGAAGTTTCCCAGCAAATGCAGCTACTTTTGTGGGTGTGGAATTGACGCATCAATTCTTTAAGAAATATACATGAATGATTAGAAAAGCAGGATCTCTTCAAATGTGATTAAAATAAAAGATTAAAAGAAGTTGTGTATAATAGAAAAGATTACTTCTTATAACTTATTGCTGAGATTATGTAAGTTTTGCGTGCTGTATTACCTAATCTGATAATGGTGTTTGGGTGTTAATTATCACGACTTTTTCGATTCGTCAAAAAACAAAATGGTGAAATCTATTGAGGGCCATAAAAGTTGAAAACAACAACCTAAATATTCCAATAATACAGCAGCATGTCATTCCAAGCTATTTCAAGAGTGAGTTGGAAATGTTAAGAAACTATTATTGCTCGAAAATACTACTAACAATTTCCTCCCTAGATAGGGCTTCCTACCGTTCTCGGTATTTCCTTAATTTCAATCCCAACAGCATTAAATGAATCCAAACCTTCTAGATCCTTTTATGAACAAGATGATGATTTAAACTTATCACCAGTTATCGAAACACAACCAGTGGAAACTATCCCATTAGAAAAAACTAAAACACCAAAGAATGATACTGAAGTTAAATCAACATTTATAGATGGTTATAAAATAAATACTTCAAATTTCTTGGAAACTCATTTAAACACTTTAAGATCCAAGACTATCAATCAACTAAACATTGCAGATGCTGAACTAAACAACTTGACATCCGCTTTCAAGAATGAAGTCAATGCAGTATATTCACATATTTATTCAGTTTATGATCCAAGGGATCAATTTTTACCAAGTTTTATTTATGCATTAACTACAACATTAACAGGTTCAATACTCGTGAATAGAAGATCATTACCAATTAGATTCGTGAGTCCTTTATTATTCGCTACTTTAGGTTTCAAAGTTTTCTTACCAAGAACTTTTGATAATACTGTTAATGTTGTTAGAAATTGGGAAGCTGAATCATATCCAGAATTATTAAATTTCCAAAGATCAATCAAGAAATTCATCATTGTTTCTGAAGAACAAGCTATAAAGTCTTCACAAGATTTAAACAATTCATTGATTTCTACAATTCATGATCTTAGAACAAGTTTAACAAAATGAATAAAAAATTGCATCTAAAAAACAAAACAAATCTAAACAAAACATTATAAGTGAACGTATTTTCAATAGACTCTATCTGTAGTTTGAATTGGCTTTATAACCATAGTTATTTGAGTTATGGTAATCATACTTATCCTCATCACTAACCACACCTGGGCCATAATGGAATTGTTGTTGTTGTTGAGGAACAGGTCTATAACCACCTTGATTCCAAGCACTATTATCATAAACAGGAGCAGGCTTTGGAGGATACATATGAGGATTATCATAAGCACTTGGTTTTGGAATATCACTCATCTCTCTTTGATAACCTAGTTGATTATTTCTTCTTGAATTATTATTATTCCCACAAATTCTACAACAACAACATAAACACTCAGCAATACCTGATACACCTGATATGAAACAATGAGCTAATCCACCAATGATCCAGACAACCACTATAATGGCTAATACTATCCCAACAATAGCCACGATTTTACACGTTTTGTTATCCATACACGTATTCCAACTCTTAAAAGATTGGGCAGTGGACACGACATCTGAAGTGAATGATCTTGGGTGTAGTAGTTTTGAAGGACATAGATCTAGGTTTAGACTCTTGGAAGGTAGTAGCATTTTGATATTTTAGTTAAAGCGAATGGGAAAGGAAAAGATAATTCGGTGGATCTTGGACGTGTTTTATAAGTGAATCAAGTAATTAGGAATGTCTGTTTTTTTGTGTACCTGACAAACGCGGCTTTATGAGAAAATACAGCCCTCGAATTTTTCAAGACTGGCTGAGTCAAATGATCAAGAGGAAAAGTTAACAATAGAACGTATAAGCCCTTTTGGATTTTATTTCTAGAATCATATCTACAAAATTACGTTATAAGAATAGACTAGTACAGGTATCTTGTATAAATAAGCGGGATGTGTTTAGGTCCTAGATGGATATAGCCTGTGGCTGAAGTAATACTAGATCGTGACAGCAGGTTTAATGAAAGACTAACTTCCCTTGTCAGTACTGTATCCTAGATGGTCTACAAAATAAGTAATCCATAATCCTTCAATTTTAACACTAATATACAAATAAACATTACAATAAATTAAGAACCATCAAACCATCGGTTCATTTGTTCATGAAATCAAACATACTACCCATATCAACATAACGACGACCACAATCACTCAAATATTTTTGAACAACACTTTTGAAAACTTCAAAGTTTTCACGATTTTGTTCACTCAATGCATCAATTTGACCTTTAATCATTGGTGTAGGCTGAGATTTATCTTCACTGTCATATAATGGTCTTAATGATTGTGTCTTGTTTTTGGAAACATCAAATAATGAATCAAAATATAACAATTGATTATATAGCTCCTTATCACTATATTTATATCTCATAACACCTTTACAACCATGTGACAAACATCTTTTACCATACACTGAAATTTGCTTTGTAGTCATACCACATGTTGAATCATCACAAACAACAACACCTTGATAATATTTAGCAATAAATGATCTAATTCTATGTTCTAATTGACTTGAAACACCTAGAGTTGATATTTGGGATTCACATTTCTTACATTGAACACCATTAAATGTAATTTGGTAATCATGAGAAGCAACAATACCACCAAATTTGAAATGATTACCACATTTACAATTCAAAAACAAATGTGCTGCGTTTTTAAATCTTTCAGAATCTGGAATTGTAGATTCTAATGGTTGTAAAGTACCCATTGAAGCACCATTATTACTATTATTGTTCAATTGTTTGGATCTATGCTCTAATCCTAATGCTTTTGCTAATCTAACAATATCAACACCTTCAATTCTTTCAACCAATCTTTCCACTGGAGCAAATATCTGCTTTTCCAAATAATAATTAGGATCTGGCTTCAAAGTTGAATTCTTAGCAAGCATTTCATTCAATGATCTAGCTCTTTCTGCAACACTACCTTCATCACCTTCAGTAATAACAAATGTTATAACACTACCAGCTTTAATAACTTTACCTTGTTCTTTCAATCTTAAAGCAACTTGCACAGCAGGCATATTCTTACCACCAGGATAAGCTGAAGGATCTTTGGATAATTTGGTATTGATCTTGAAATTTTCTGGTCTAATCTCAAAATTTTTAATCTTTGAAGTGGTTTCTTCTAAATATGAATAAACTTCATTCAATGCAACTTCTGGATCTAAATCTGATAAAATTTTCTGTAAAACATAGATAGATATATCTTTAGATAATGGACAATATTCACGACGTTTCATATCAAGACCTTTAACTTCCAAAGTGGCAATTTCTTTACCCATTTTATCAAATGAAACATTCATAGCGGCATATTTCTTCTTTGCATGCAACAATAATCTTTTGAAGACATTATCAATATCAATTTCCAATAATCTATATCTTTCATTGACTTTAACTTTAAAATCTTCACCAATCTTTATAGCTTCTTTAAAATTATCACAATTTGTATCAATCATAACAGAATCAGTATCACCATAAACAACTCTTAAACCTAAACTTTCAGCTAATTGTCTGGTATCCATTAAAATTTCTCTACCTTTATTAGTAACCAACATAGCTAATGGTTTGGCATAAAATCTTGAGTGAACATAACCAAGACAACCATACATAGAATTGGCAGTCAATTTCAAAGCTTGTTGTTTAATATCATATTGAGCTTTCTCCACAGCACTTGCAGTTGGATCTTTCATTAATTTCTTAACTTCACGACGACGATTAACCAATGTTGATAATAATCTTGGTAAAACACCTTGTTGGGTAGAATTTGCTGGAACATCTGGTAAATTCTCAATATTGTTTAAATCTCTATCAACTGTTGTGAAACAAATGTTGAACTCTTGAATGATTGATGGATATAATGAGTTGAAATCCATAACCAAGACATAATTCTTATGTAGCCCCTTTTCAGGTTCAAAAACTAACCCACCCTGATATTTAGATTTCTTATTATTACCAGAACTTTGTTGTTGAGCTTCATCACCATCATCATTCATATCTTGCTGTTGTTGCTGTTGGAAAGCTTGTCTCTGTTGACGAGTTTCTTTATCTGGAACAATATAACCATTTCTATTAAACTCATGCAACAAAATATATTCATTACGACCAGCTCTTGTACCACCCAAGGTATGTGCCCAAGCGTTACCAGCCAAATTGGTTAATTGTTTGGATAATGATAATATTTGCATACCAAATGCAATCTCAGCTGTTATTAAACAATTCATACAATTTTCTTTCAAAACCATGAATAAAGAATTTGCATTTTCAGCATATTGAGGATTGGCCCAATTAATTTCCAATGGCATATGTTTCTTCTTACAAACAACATCATACATTTCTGGTAAATCCCATGATTGACACTTTGTTGTTAATGATTGACCCATTTCATTTGATATATCACATAATAATCTTCCTGCAAAAATCTCCTTGATTAAGAAACTGGTATTGGCATTGTTTTTACCAAATCTGTCAGGCCATGCTTTTCTTTGACGACGACCAAATGTACTAAAAGTTGCAACTTTCAAATCATGCATACGATGTAAAACAATATCTAATGAAATATTCTCCAATCTGTGACCAATGAAAACATCTGGATCTGATAATTTGACCAAGGCAGCTAAACAATTTAATAAAGTCTTTTCATTACTGAAAACTCTTAAGGGTAATTTATTTTTATCAGCTAAAGTCTTAAGACCAGGAGGAAATGAAACACCAATAGGTCTAGTTAAAGTGACAAAATCATCTGGTTTCAAATTTTCATCAACTGGTGCATCTTGTGGTAAGTTTCTATATGTGGCTAATGTGACTGCGACGACTTCTTGTCTGTTCTCTTTTTGATTCATCATAGACTGAACAGAAATGGAACATGAAGTTAAAGGTGGAGGAGTAATTTGGAACTCTGGAGTTGATTTTTCAATTGGTGTAATAAATGCTGGCTTTCCAACAGCAACTTCAACTTTACAATGTGATGTGTTTCTAACAGCATTGAAATCAGCATTCTTGATCTCTAACCAGCAAGGACCCATAATGTTTCTTTGTAAAACAAAAGTTTCAAAGATGTTTGCATTAGTACCAAAAACATGGGAGAAAGTTTCACCAGATAAATCACTTGGTAAGGTAACTTTTGCACTTTTTGGTGGTTGATATGGTAATATAAGTTTCAAATATTCCTTTTCTTTAGGTATACCAGGCATTTCAAAAGCATATTTTTTAACTTCTGGTTTAGCCTTTAAAGATGATAGACCGAATTTACCCATAATCAAAGGCGCAACTTCTTCATGGACATCCATGGCTGATATTTTCTCATCTGTATCTTCACCATCAACTTGTCTATAGTCTCTTGGTAAAAAATATAATTCTCTGTCAAAACCTTTAACTTGAACCATTGCTGAGACTAACTGTTTATCATTAGTCAAGACTTTCCCAAACAAGATTAAAGTGTTTTCAACTTCCGTATAATCTAACCAATACATTTTGAAGGAGTCTGTGCTGTCATCAGCAACTAATTCTTTATCAATCTTATCACTAGTTGGGGTATATGACGAGCTTGGTGAAGATGTAAATGTAACTGGGTCACTTTTGATAGACTCTTGTTTGGCTGAGGAGGTCATGTTAACAGAACGATTAACATTAGTGGTGGATGTTCTTGGTCTTTTCACAACAACAACTTCGTCTTCAGATTCTTCATCTTCATCTTCTTGTTCACCTTTTATAGCTTCGGGTTTCTTTGCAATGACTGGAATTTCAAGTTCTGCTGATTCAGCTTTAGCCTGCTTTGTTCTGGTTGGTGATGAATCCATATGGTTATCAAAAGAGGTTTCATTAACTTCGAAGGAGACATCATCTTCAACATTGTCAAGATCATACTTCGGTTGTTTTTTGAGTGTTGATGGTTTCTTTGTAGATGACTTTGAAACAGAGAAAAAATCACGGTTATTGTTAACTTTATTTGTGGAGTTGAATAATGGTGTTTTGCTTGCACTTGAACTAAAGACATTTTTTGGTTTCTTTGTTGGACCCATGAAATCATCTAAAATATCGTCAAAGTTTGCATCAACTTTCTTCTTAGTAGCAGCAGCAACAGTGGAACTAGGTTTGAAGAAGTTATTTATTGGGGCGGTCTTCTTAACTTTCTTCTTCTTTCTGGAGTGTGAATCTTCAACTTCTTCTTCATCCTCACTTGAGTGATATCTGTGTCTTCCTCTGTTATCCCATTCGTCAGCACCGGTATCCACGTAACCTTCACCATTATCATCAATAACGAAATCATCCTTCAACAAATCCTCACGTCTTTTGGCTCTATAATCATCTTCATCAACAACATCATAAATATCTTCAGGTTCTTCTTCATGATAAACGTTTTTACTTGTACCAGCAGCTCTAGCAGCCCTTAGGGCTTTCAACTTATCAGCTTTAGCCATTTGCTGTTCAATTGAATGTTGGTGTTGCGTGTTTCGATCTGAATGCAAAGATATGGGAAGTAAGCCAAAACTACACAAACTTCATAACTGTTTTTTTTCTTTTCCCTTACAAAAGATGATTCAATTCAAAAGCGCGTTCTGCCAAAAAAAAATGCGCGTCGCGTGTCAGTTCCGAGGGTTAAAGTCAGATCACATGACTTTAACTACGGAATATGAGTGTGGCTGATGATTTAGCGCTGTGGCTTGCTTATATGTGGCTAGTGTGATGGTGTTTTTGAGGAAGGAATTTTGATGGGCTGGTGAATTTGGATAGGAATAAACTAACAGAACTACAGAAACCTGAGTTAAAGCCCACACATTTATTTGCTGCCTATTGATACTTGCTCAAAAAAGACATTCACTTTGGACTCTCTTAGGTTTAGCTTCTTCATTCTATTTTATTCCAATGTCATTCCTAGATATAGATGTGGAGGCACAAAAGCAGCCTATATTTCAAACAAACAATGATGAAGGATCAAAAACAACACTTATAATAAGCAAGGCTTCGAATTTGCTAACAGATTTTGCTAATGGTGTGAATAACCTTGAAAGACTTATCAACCAGCTAGGTACAAAAAGGGATAGTGTTCAACTTCGACAAACAATTGAGTCTGCTAGAATAGTGGAGTTGAATGAATATAGACAACAATTAGAGCATTTGACGAACGATATCTCACACTTAGTTGCAAATAATCAAGATATAAGGATTGAAGATAAATTCAGTGAGGAGAAATTGAGGAAAGAATTTGACAGCATTAACAACAACTTTGGTTTGTTGAAAAGACAATACAATGAGCGCAAAAATTCCGTGATACTAAATGATATTATCTCAAATCAACAAGCAATTAATGATGAAGCTGTAGGATCTTCTTCCAAAGCTAATGAAACTACACCTTTGATACAACAACAGCAGCTGCAACAAAATCAGTATTCAATCACACAGCAAGAACTTGACCTGCATTCTGTTCTGGCTGAAGAACGTGCAAATGAAATCAAAAAGATTCATGGGGGTGTTGAAGAGATTAATTCAATCTACAAGCAGTTAGGCTATTTGGTCCAACAACAAGGCTCACAAGTTGATACAGTGGAAAGCAATATGTCAAATTTTGCAAACCATACTCAAAATGCTGCTCAAGAACTTGTTAAAGCTGATAATTACCAAAAGAAAAGAAAGAAATGGAGCTGTATAATATTGGTGGTTTTGGTAATTATAGTGTTGATAGCTGTTCTGGCAATATTCGCATAGGCATTGACCGATAATCACTACAAATACTTAATAATATAACCTTGTGTTTCAATTCTTTCCCAATATTCTTAACCGTAAATAAACCATTGATCCCTGATTCCCAATATCCCGTTTTCCATTTAATTAGCGTAAGTGATCCTTCAACTTCCCTAAAAGTTCAATTTCTTGATTTGACTTTTTGGGAGATACTTATTATAATCAAATTGTTGTTCATCTTCAGGTGTCTCGTCGCCAGAGGAGCTACTGCTCACTGTAGTTGATGGGCCATCATCAGAAGATAAAGCATAACCTGGTGCATTTTGCGGTTTTCTTGAAGCTCTTCTTCCTCTAAATGTTGCCTTACGGTCATAAACCCCTGAAGTTTGACCATCTCTAGCTGTCAAAGTTCTAGTACTATCCCATAATTCTGAATCACTGTCAGTAGAGTTTGATTCTTCAGCTTCCTGAGTTTGGTTTGACGGTTGTGAAGCTTCAGCTCTACTAGCATTTGGGGTATGATATAAATCATCGTCATTATCATCATCAAATCTCTGTTCGGTATAGCGATTTTGACCATATGCAGGAACACCCATTTTTCTTCTTCTGTTACGCTCAATAGCAGTTTCAATCCCGTATTTTAAGTCTTCAAATGCTTCGGCAATTTCCTCTTTATGTTCATACACAACCATCCCTATGCCCATGGCGATAAGACCCCCAGCTGCAAGATGAATCAAAGGTACTAAGGATATTAGTCGATTAACCAAGGACGACATCAACAATTACTTACATGGCATTTTGTTCTATTTTTCTTCTAGCCTTGCAAGAAGTTGACACATAGAATTAGAAAGGAAAGTGAGAATATTATTATGTCTTGCCACATTCACTCCATAAAAATTCATTCGCACGTAATTCTGCCATTTTTGTAAACTACAAATTTCAAGTTCAGTTGTAATTGTAAATGGTTCATTAAAATGTTCTTGTCTTCAACAAAAGTCAATTGGGGTGATCCGGTGTCTTCTGAGCCTGGTTGATTATGCTCGTAGTGGCAAAATACCTTAAGAGTGTTGCCAGCTCAATACTGACCCGATCTTCTTCTTCTTCCTTATCATTCTGTACCAAAACAGGTTCAGTCCAACATTTAGTAGGGAACTCAGAAGTTGGATAAAGTTCTGACAAGTAACTGCTTTCACTGTTTGAACACATTTCGTAGTTTGACTGTTTATACTGATCAAACTTCTTCTTCATGGTGTGTCCCTCATAATGCTTTCAATGAATTTCTGCATTTGCTCACTTTGAATACGAGATCTCATTAGGTTTCGAGCTGATACCCTCTTCAATAGGCCTTTATACCTTGTTCTATCAATTAATTCTTCTAATCTTTCAATGCTTATTTTAGGTGGAATAGGTCTCACATCCACTATTTCAATTGTTGAATCATCTGAATCATCGTCCTCAAAGCTCTGTTGCTCTATTTCATTGTCTATAGGCTCTTCAATGCCATTTGCCGCAACATGGTCATCTGTTGTGCTTTCTTCATTTTCATTATTTGAATCTTCCCCTTGATGGTCTTGCTCCAAGCCATCACCGGGCACCCCATTTTTTTGGGCCGCTTTCATTGACTCTTTATCCTCTATAGCATTATTTGGTGTTATCTCAGGCTCTGAATCTGGTACGAAATCATTATAGCTATTTCCAAAATCAAAAACTCCAAAATCATCATCTTCGGCAAAGTCAAGAGGGACAGTCTGGGGAACTTCTGATTGTGAATGCTGTAAAGCACCTTGGCTGCTTTTGAGTGGATCTGTAGTTGAGGACGGCAATTCATTGTATTTTTGTGAGTTTGACTCCCTGTTTTGTAACGTGCTTTCGTGGTCTGAAGGTTCTGTAGCTGAAGAGGTCAAAGGCGGTGTTTCTTCATCATCTTCATCTTCTTCGTCATCGTCGTCGTCATCACTTGAGCTCAGGTATATTGGATCTTCCTCGGTGAGTCCTTCGGTACCACCATCCACAAATGTTTCTTGATTTGAAGTATTAGGGTCTGGCCGCAGTAGTAACTCCATATCATCAGCATCGTCTTCTTCGTTGGGAAAAATTAATCTCGGACTTTCAACCTTTACTTTCAAGCTATCATATTTGTTGTATGACGTTACTCTTCTCTTCTTCAAAGCTGGTGAGCCCTCGGTGATCCATGTCGCTTTTCTCTTAGCCATTATGATATACCCAGCTCACTCTTCTGGAAACTTCTCACGCTTCGACCACCAATCGAGGATGAGCAATATGGTCTTTCAGCGAATCTGAATCTCCAAACCAAATTTGAAATTGTCTTAAATGAAGCTGATGCACAAGCTGTATTCAACGTTAATAATTCTCCTAATTTGGGTACATCTCATTCTTTATTTCCTTTGTTTACGTACTAATTTTTTTGTGTGGCCGGTTTTTTTTTCAACACAATTTCGCGAATTTCTCCGAAGACGTTTTGTAGAGGCTCGTAGCTACCAAAATCTGTCTACAAATATAATATACTTACAAACAAAATGAGTTATACTAATTAATAAAAGTCCCAATCTTAAAGTTCTGTTTTCAATTATATATTAAAGAACTTTTTGAAATGAACTAGAATGTGGCAATAATGAAAAATATTGATAAAATACCTGGTAAAAAAATGAGCTGGTCAATTAGAATGTTGAATTAAAAGTAATACAAAAAGCTCTGTGGATAAATAAGTTACTATAGCACAAGGTTAAAAATATATTGAAAATGATGCGTCCCGTCTAGTTGAATAAAAGCAAATGATAAAAAAATTCAAAGAAAAACGCCTGTAAACTGAAACATAAAACAATGCATGAGTGTTCAATTCCATTCACTGGATTGTGTAAATTTTTGGATAGTACCCTTCCTGGCTAACTTTAGAGCTAACAATCGAATGACAATGGTGATAATGATGATATAATGATGATAATAATGACAGTGAAACAATGAATGGAATGGCATGTTAAAAAAATTGAAGGCCAATGCTGAAAGATCTTTGCAAAATTCATAACACAAAAATAATTAAAAAAAGAAAGAAAAGACATAAAAAAAACTTTTATAGATGAATAAAGAATGATAAAAAAACAGAATCAGCATTTCAGCCACTGGTAGTCTCATAGAATCAACCTTTGAAACCTTGATATGCAAAACTGCTACTTCTTCTTTGTCCAGGGCCTCTAACACCTAATGGATTCTTGGAGAATGACAATCTAATACCACCTTTACCTGGAATACCGCCCGGTCTTGGTAATGTTCTTCCATATAACTCAGCTAAAGCTCTAGTAGCATGCGCAACGTCCTCAAATTCGACAAAACACATTGGTCCATGAGAATGACTTGAAGGACCAGAATTTGGTTGCGAAGTTCCGTTTAACGGTTGAGTTTTAGTTCTGAATGACAATCTTCTAAATCCTCTTTGTGGGGAAAACAATTGACGAAGTTCTGCCTCTGTTGCATCTGGTGGTAAATTTCCAACGTAAAGTGTATTACATGGTGGATTCTGATCAGCTGGATTAGCTGGTGGTGGTACTCTAGCCAATAATGACAAGTCAACTTGAGAAGACTGTTGGGAATTACTCAATGTTGGTGGCTGAGATGCAGATGATGGAGCCTGAGGTCCTCCCATTTGTGATGGTAGTTGCTGCGACTGGGGAGCTGGGGCAGAAGCTGGCGGGATTGGCATAGATGATTGACCTAAACCTTGTGGTAATTGTTGAGGTTGTTGTGGATTTTGTTGTTGCTGTTGACTCAAAGAGAGTTGGGTCGGTATTTGTGATGCTGACAACTGACTTGTTAATAATGGTGATTGAGAATTAAAGAACGCAGAATTCTGTCTTCTTCTATCCCATTCAATACTTGGAGTTTGAGGTGTTGAGTTTGCAAACTGAGGATTTGCTTGACCAATAGAAGTTGAAACAGGCAGTTGAGCAGAGCTTTGGGATGTGTGAGGCTGCTGCTGTTGTTGTTGTTGTTGTTGTTGTGAAACTGGTTGTTGATGCCATGGATCTCTGACTAGTTGTTCATATTCTCTTGCATCTTGTTGGGATTCCATCAAAAGTAAAGACTTCCCTAACCCATTTGTACCTGTAGCCGATTCAGGAACTGCTTCAGGAATTGTATCATTACTAAATGGATCACTGAATAGAAATCTTGATCTTTGATTTCCTATACTTGGTCTTTTGGCTGATGATCCAAGATTCAATCCCATCTGGTAATTTTCATCGACAACTTCAGTTTTCAAAAACGTAGGGTATGAAGGTCCGAAAATTTGACTTGATTCCAAAACTTGTGAGTACTTTGATGCTGCTGATAATGACTTAAATTTGGCAAATAAAACTGGTAAGTTACTGGAATCCATGATTAAATCAACACCAATAAAATCCTTGGCTAATGCAAAAATACAATATGACTCTCTCAATGAGATATCTGAAGGAAGGTTTTTGATTTTTAGTGTGTAAATCTGTTGCTGTATGTTCTCTTGTTCTTGAGCTTGGCCCAAGTTCAAATTGTTCAAATTGCTGGTTAGGTTTATTGGTGAGCTTTGTAACGAGCTCTTTCTCCCATTTTCATTCAATCCACCTGATGGAGCAAAATTTATAGCAGAATTGTTGGGCGATGTTCTGCTTGTATTGACTGCTAGTGGGTTTGGGGGTTGAGTCTGCTGTTGGTGAGGTTGCATGTTTGCTTGAGTTGTCATAATGAAACAAATTGATGAGAGCTTAGTTGAAGGCTGTGTGACTAATGGAACTTGTTATTAATGATAGAGTTGATGTGTTCTTGTTGCTTTCCTTTCCCTTTGCTATACAAGGAAAAATAATATTGATGCAAAACTTCTTGTAAAAGAATCTTCTTCTGGAAAAAAAATTAATTATAGTACAATTGTAACTGAATGCTTTTGAGAGCCTGCTCAAGTAGTTCTAACTATCTTCTTTTGACAATTGACTGGCGTTGAAATCCACAGCTTCACAGAATACCGGAAATGTAATTCTTAAATGCACTATCTTTTTAAAATTTACGACAATTCAAACTGAAATTCTTGAAACGACTGCCTGATAAACAAGATAGTAACTAGCACCTTTTTACTTGGTAATCTATCTTCTTAACAATCTGAGATAGAATAATATTGAAAAACTGAATGTGTTCTGGGTATTTGAGAATATTTCACTGATTTTTGCAACTGAACGCCACGCGTAAAACCTGTCGTTTTATAACCAAATCCTGACACGGATAATAAGCTCACTTAACGGTTGAAATCCAATGATACTGATGATGCTTTTTGGTAGCTTGGTTTAATGGTAGCTGATACCAGTTCAAGTTTTGGGTAAAATGTTGTTTTGGTGCCAAACTGTTGTTGTATAAACGTATTCACCTCTATCTGGTTATTGTTGTTATCCCAATTTTTTAATTAAGGAGATTTTCAAATCGTTGTCATGGAAGCATCGAGTATTGCGGCGGGTAACCGCGGATAAAAGCCCCAAATATGCATGCCATTTCACCAAAGGGCGTTTGAAACGCTTTAAAAAAGCAAAAAAAGCTATTAATCTCATTAAAACTATGTCATCTTACTATATATAAATTTTAAACTCTTTATCGTCTCCATAGCTCATGTTTACTAGCAAAATTGATGAGTTTCAGCACATGCCTAATCGGGAAGGTCTCCAGCCGTTTTTTTTTTCGCAAAACGCAGCACCCGGACACCACTGCGAAAATGGTCAGGACTTTGGGCCCAAAACGAAATCCAGAATTACACGATTTTTTTTGGAAAAATCACACCCAGTAAGTGTTATCCCTGTAAACAGAACAAAAAAACAAAAATCTATGCTAAACATAACACTTATTTTACTATGGGCATGTTTAATTGGCAAAAATTTAGCGAAAAAATAGCTTCCGATGCGGGGAGTCGAACCCCGGTCTGCTCGGTGAAAGCGAACCGTGCTAGCCGTTACACTACATCGGATTGTTCTTGTTTTGTTATTCTGGAGAAATAACCACTCATACTTTTCGGCATCACGTGACTGTATTTTTATTTAAAGTTACATAGAACTTGAAGAGGCTTTAAGACTCCTTTTGTGTGTTAGAAATATTGCGCTCTATATAGATTTGGTTTGCTTTTTAAGGCAATCGTTCTCCAAGTAATCTTTAGTTTGATTCTAATTGGTTTTGGGTCGTTCATAAGTAAGTATTACATGGTCGACAAACAACATGAGCACAAGAGTCTGTTAACGGTAGATTGACTCCTGAAATAATATTGACAGCAGTATATAAGTTATGTATAAGTGAAGCTACTAGTTTATTGTTGATAATGGATAATTTTACTTACCAATAATTGAAATGTCAAATTTTTGTGGTAACTAAACAATAGATGCTGTATCTGGCACCTGATGTATTTGGCTTGCTTCTTCATTATCCAACAACATCATTACTTCATCAATAGAGTTATAAAATTTCCCATCAGTGAGATCAGAAATACCAGAGTTCTTAATTCTTTTCCTTATACCATGCTTTGTAGGGACCCTTATCAAGTAAACATGAATAGACTTCTTTTTGTAAGCTTCCAGAATCTCATAAAAGATTTGAGCAGCTGAGGAATCAAAATAAGTCATTCCATTAAGATCAAAAAGAATGTGTTTATTCATAGAGTCTTCCCTTGTTCTTGGAGCAGCTGGATGTGTCTTTGCTGAACCATATCTTTCCAATCTCATCAGACGAAGCTTCAAATCAGAAGCATTCGAGAATGTCAAAGGTTCAGCTATCTTCACAATCATACAACCTTCAATTTCTTCCAAAAATTCACCTTGATCTTCAGGTAAAGGCTCATCCGCATTCAAAAAGGTGTTGGTATTTGGTAATCTCCCTAGAATCTGGATACCTGATTTAGTGGAATTTTTGATAACTCTGATCACTGAATAGCCAACTCCTAATGCAATACCAGCTTCAACTGAATAGAGTAAAGTAGCTGTAATTGTGATACAGAAAGTTATAAGTTCACTATAGCCTTTTGCTCTGATATGAAATCTCAAATCGGCAGGGGTTTCATCTAATAGTTTCAAACCAACGATAGTTGTGATGACTGATAACACGCATTGAGGCAAATAGTAGATATAATCTAAAAGGAAAAATATTGTAATTAATGTGACTGATCCCATTATCAGCCCAGACATTGTTGTTTGTGCCCCACTAATTGCATTGATTCTTGATCTACCATAACCACCAAAAGCTGGAAGTGCTCCTATTATTCCACCACATAAGTTTATAGACCCTAAAGCAACTAGCTCCCTGTTGGATGAAATTGGTAGGTCATAGGCAGAACCTAATGATTTAGAAGCTGTAGTGGATTCAAAGAACCCCAATGTTGCAGCTAAAAAGCCAGACGACATTAAAGAATGGTATAAGGGCATAGTTTCTTTTGATATTGGAAATTTATAACTAAACCCCTTTGTTTTGATTTTCCCAACAACTGCAACACCTAAAGATTTCCAGTCATAGACTGCTGATAATATAGTTGATGAAACAACAACAATCAAAATCTCTGGTAGGAAAACCCAACGGTTATAACCTTTCTTAATCAGTTTTCCCTTTATATGCTGTGTAACTTGAATTAAAACAAATGAAACAAAACTAATAATAGCTGTTGGCCTGTGGCTTCTATTGATGGTTTCAATAATGAAGATGAATTTTCTAACAGGCGAATGGAAATGGGCAGGAATATCTTTGATCAAATTCAGCCCCAACTCATCATACAAAGAGTTGATAATCATAACAATACCAACAGCAGAAATAAAGCCTCTCAATAGAGCTCTTGAAAGCACATTATCCAAAAATCCAAATCTACAAAGACCAGCACCTAATAGATAAAACCCACCGATACAAGATAAAACACTTACCAAATCGACAGGGTCAACATGCTTATCATGAGACATCAATGGTTCAACAGCTTGTCCAACGACTAAAGAAATTGCACCTTCAGGACCAACAATCATTTGGGGAACTGACCCGAACACAGCATAGATTATTGGTGGGATAGCTAATGAATATAGTCCACACAATGCAGGAACATGTGCAATGGCTGTAGCGTATGATAAGGCCAATGGTATCTGGAATGATGCTAGAGAAAGACCAGCAACTAAATCCCCAAAAAATTTGTTGAGATTATAACTTGGTAGCCATGAATAGCAAGGAAGATAGTATGGAACTCTTTGTGACCATTTCAAATGTTCTGATTCACTGCTTGGTCTAACGCTCTCTTCTGAATTGACGGAGGAAGGCTTGTGTAATCTTTGAGGACTGAAGGATCTTGGTGCTCCACTTGGTGATTCTGAGTATCTCAGATTTGAAACTCTAGTTCTTGGGCGACGTGGTGATGGTAGACTTTCGTAGTTGGAGTGTTGCGATGAACCACTCTGTTTATTGAGTAGTGATGATGATTCGCTCGGCATGTTTGTGAAGACGTTTCAGCTCAAAGGCATTCCGTAGTAGTTGGATATAAGAGATGAAGTGATGAATATGAAATGCAACTTGTAAGATTAGTGTGCTCTGCGATGTTGAGGATTAAACTAGTTTCTGTTATCTCCAACTTATCAATAACCAATTTCGTAAACAGCAATAGAAAGCTTGATAGTGAATGGATCAAACCAAAACCTTTTGAAATTGAGTAAGCTATAAATGAATCTTGAAGCGATTCTTGGTTGCAAACTCTTTGAAACCTTGAATTGTACTAAAATCTGCTTTTCGACGATGAAATTGTCATGAAGCAAGGAATTTACAGCTATCGGAAATAAAATTGAACACGGTCTGGCCCCGGCGAAAGCCAATAAAAGATTTACTATTTACAATCAGTAACTAAACTTTTAAAATCAATTGAAGATACAAAACTCCTAAATATCCATGGTAGAGTAAACGAAATAAAAAAAATTGTGGTTCGTAAATACATTATAACTCGTTTGTGTTCTCCTCTCTAAAGAAGGGCTTTAATTGCAGCTTTCAACGCAGCCGCCTTCTGTTGATGTTGTTCATCCTTCATTTTGTTCAAAGCTTTTTCGGAATATGAATTCAAATGGTGTTCAAACGTCTTTATCAACTTTTTGCTCTCTTTGCTATTCAGATCATTACTGACCCATTTATTTATAACTTGATCAATATCATTTTTCAAAACTCCAGTCTTCTCTGCTTGTGATAGGTCTAAATTACCAGCTCTTTCATTGAGCCAATTCCATAACAAAACCTCCTCGCCTTTGAATAAAACATTTTCTGTACTCTTATCAATCTCACTCAGAACACCGAATGAAAAAGTCTTCTCTGGAACTGATCTAATCGACCTTAGAATACCAACTTGTAAGAGCAAAATACCAGATAAAAGAGCCAAAACTGCAATATTGAAAGCTGAAAATTCAGGAATAAAAGAATCTGGTGTACTTGGGGTGACTTTTGCTGAAGATAGACTTTTAGCATCAATATCAGCTCTTTTAGCATCGGCCAGTGGTTCAATATTATTTTCAATTTTGATCTCTTCTTCAGTTGCAAAAGTGTTATCATCAACAATCTTTTTCACTAATGGGATCAACTGCTTTGTAGCTTCTTCCTGACCACTCAGACAGCTCTTATCAATCATACTTTTAACCCAACTTTTACCAGTCCAATCCACTTTAAAAGAAATGACAAGGTTTGTAGTGTTTTCAGGTCCCCACGTCATAACATACCTGGTCTTCACACTGAAAGCATTACCACTAGGAACATCAGGGGTTTTGGTCGTTGATAAAACGTTGGTGCACCCGTCATAATCTAACGACACAATTGCTTCTTGTACATAACACTTTGTAGATTTGGGACCAATTGAATAATTAAGAGCTTTTGTATAATTATAATTTCTCTCCTTTTTACCTTCATCATTCCTTTCATAATCAGAAAATTTAGAGAAATTACTTCCACCTTGAGATCCCAAAAACTGAAGTGTTAAATCATTATTTGGACCGAATAAAATCTCAAACAACAAACCTGGAGGGCATTTTATATTTTCCTCTGCCAAAATAACTTCTTGCATAGCAGTGTAATCAATTCCAGAACTAGTTGATTGATGGCCATCTGGACCGGTATAAGCATAAACAGATGTGTTTTTAGCTTTATAAACAACTTGTTGGGAGGAGGATACCACTTTCCCAGCTTCGGAGACTTTGCCACTTCCAGAATACTCAGAATTAGAGCTTTCATCACTATCATCTTCTTCGTCGTCGTCATCATCATCATCATCATCGTCGTAAAATTCATCACTTCCAGAAGTGTTCCTTCTATTGGTTCTAGTATCACCATCTATTGAAAGCAGTGCCTTTTGGTATTCATCAGCATCATATTTCTCTGTACCTAAATTCAAATCCTTGGAAACTAATGCTTCACCTTCAGTGCTTTGGAATGAATTTGTATTTACCTGAGATAAGTTGTTCGCTTGGTCATCTGAAGCCTCCCAGACCTCAGTTAGTAAGTTATAAGTCGAATCTCTGGACAAAAAACTTGCAAAATAATGCTTATTCCCATTATTCAGGTTGATAGCAATACCATTTGGGAACAGACCAGCAGTAGCAGTTTTTTCAAACTTTGAAATATCAGCATAGGGTATAACCAAATTTGTCACCCATCCCAGAAGGTTTGAATTAAAGCAAATATTCTTCTCTGTAACATATAGTCTCCCCTGCAATAAAATTTCTCTGCTAAGTGCACAACTAAAATCGTCCAACAGTCTTTCGTCTGCTGGAATTGATTTGAACAATTTATGGAAATCATTATTTCTGGTTATAGTTGCATATCTATAGCTTGTATCCTTGAACTTCTCATCCACATAATTACTCGTATCGAATGTCTCACTCTTTGGGCTAGTTTCCTCTGTTATTGATTTGTCTTCAACCAATGGAGATTTTGGAATATCAATTGAGCTTGCACTGGTATTCCTTCTTTTGGACCTCTTATCTCTTCTATAGCTAAGCATACTTGGAGAAGTTGTTGAATCTTTTGCTGACCCACCATGACTATTAGTTCTAGAATGAGAATCCATCGTAACTGTCACAACACCATTTTCATCAATGGAGTTCATAGAGGTTGAAGGTTTACCATCTTTACCTTTGTTGAAAGATAAAGTTGATATCATGTTGTTGAAAAAATTGCTGCCTTGAACTGGTGTGCTTGGTGGTGATTGATTTTGTATCATTGCCAAATCTGTTGCTGTATCATTAATACTTGAGGTACTGCTATTATCAGCTGGTAATGACTCCACATCGTGCTTGGTGGTGTGAGGATCAGCTGGTGCAGACTTGGCTAAGTTATTCTGAGATGTAGTTGTTGAGTTTCTGTGTCTAGGTAAAAGGGCAGGTTGTGGAGCTGACATGGCACTTGGTTTAGGAGGTGAGGATCCAGCTTTCGTAGAGTCGTTCCCTGTTGAATCACGACGCAGCGCTATTGGAGACTCCAGCTTGATTTCCTTAGGTTGTTCAGTCACTATTTTCAACTTTTCCCTATCCTTTCCGTTTGGTTTCCCATTACCTTGAGCACCTCCAGCAACTTCACTATCAACTTTGTCACCATTTGTGGAGCTCAAAGGGGGCAATGGTAGGCTCTCCAAGGAGGACGGGTAGGAATAGGACCATGCGTCATCCATGGTATCCATCTTTTTTCAGTTCAGTTTAGCTTGGAATTGAGGTCAACTATTGAGAATTGAATAGTTGTGATGACTTTTGCTGATTTTAAATAAATGTTTTCAGACAGAAATTGGTTCAAACTCGTACACGCTAAAAAATTTGGGGTCTCCGGAAATACTTGTATAATTCCGGCCACCAACTCGTTTTGAACGGAATCATCTCAAACGTTGAGAAATACTACAAATTTCAAGAAAAGAATAGTTTGATAATGAACTTCCATTAAAATCTTGCTCTATTAACGTCCATTTCGACCCTCCACGGCTAGTCTGGCTAGTCTCTCGGTTGCAATGCTTTTCGCGATTCTCTCCCTTTCTTTTAAACGTCTTGCGACAAATTCCTTCTGATCTTTAGCTAGCAAGACTCTCAGTATAATATCCTCAGTAGAAATTTGGAAATGACCTGTATCTTGATCTGAATCTTTAATGGCTTTTTTCACTTCTTCTCTTCTTTTTGCTGAACCATATGCTAGAATAGTTTTGCTTCTAGCTATGGTATTTGATCTTTTTTTAATATTTGAACCAGAATCATCACCTAAAAAGTTCTTCTCTCTGATTGATTTCAGTACGATTGGTGTAAGTCTGTCCACTTCTGATTTCAAAAAGACAACATCTCTGTCATAATACACTGGAATCAATAACAGCCCCTGATAGCTTTCATTTTTCAACTGTTCAAGAGGAGGCCCAGCACCATCATTATGGAAAAAATCATAACATAAAGCATTTAGCCAAACAAAAATTGTATCAACCTCATTATGTGACAGGGCCCTTCCAAAACCAGGGATGTTAACACTATTGGTAACGTTTGCAACAGCATTCGAAAATGAATTTTGCCATGTAGCACTTGATTTTGCCAAAATATTTGTGTTTTTAACACTGGCAAGCGCAGGTAATAGCAAATTATCGGCACTTGTTAAAACAATTTTCCAAGCTTGGACCATGACTTTTAAAAGAATATCATTATTCAACACAGTAGCTAAAACTTGAAGATTCAAATTCAAGTAATCAAAAAGTGGCACTATAGCATCATACGACTCATCATTTGTAGGTTTTCTTGCACCATTACTACCACATATTGACTTCAATGTAGCTCTAGAGAAGGAATAAGTAATAAACTTTGAAAACTTGTCCACAATCAATGCATATGCTCTCTCCATTGTACGATTCAATGATCTATGTGCCCTACCAATACTAAAAATGGCATCATTCTTTTCACTCTCCAATGAAACTTCAAAAGATATTGAGCCTTGAATATCTAAATCACGTGTAATTTCTTCAGGTATACCATCAGTTCTAAATTTCTTAGGATCCAATTGAACAAGAGCTCTTCCACATAAATCATGGGAGCCAAATTTTGAACTATGATCCCATACAGTGGCTGATATGACTTTTAAATTATCACTAGTAGTTTCAACTTCAAATTCTTCATTCCATACCGGGTTTAATGATTTAGGAACAATTTTTGTCTTACCAATCTCTTTTTTCAAATGTCCATCAATAAGCACGACAGATGAGCTTGAAAACCCATCACTTCCACAAGGCTTAATATTTTCAGCATTTTTGACCCTGATGGTGAACAAATTGCTCAATGGTTTATTAGCATCTGGTCTGATATTTTTCACTTTTGATGAAATACTTTCAGGATCAACTTGTGCTTCCAAAGCAGTCAACATCTTCAACATTTCTGATAAATTATTCAAAACGACACAAGTTTGGCTTTGGAAATTGAAAGGCTCTGGGGCTTCAATTTTTGATGACGCATTAGAAACAGCAGCTTTCATTTCATTAAAGATCCACGCGCCACTTTTCCTATTTTGCTCTTTTGTAGCAGCGCTTGGTGCATTTAGTTGTTCTTCGCTCAAATCACCGATAATCATATTCATCATTCTTGCAGAGTAGTAAACTAATGCATCTGAAGCTGCTTTTAACAATTTGGTGTAAATTTCGGCTAAATGAACTTCATTTTGCCATCCGTAGCTTTTGAACATCGTGAACGTTTCATTGATCATCTTGAAAATATCCAACACAGATGAACTATACCCGCTACCATTATTCAAATCTAATGGTTCAAAAGCGTCGTGTTGGATTGCCTCTTGAACAACTGGTAGCATTTTTCTGGCACTCATTGAACACAATTCATCTAAATATTTGAAGAAGAATTTTTCCAGGTTCAAGGTGAATTTGGCATTCTTTGGTGCAACTTGACTATAGATGTCTCTTAAATATTTCAACTCTTGATATGTTTCTAAAGCATCAGCATAATTTACAGATTTCCCGCTCTTAACAGAATAATGCTCAATGTGGGCCAACATATTGGAAACATCTTCTGAAAACAATTTGATAAATAAATAAGCAGCTTCATTGGCAATATAGATCTCATCAAGCAGTGGCTTGGGGAATTTCTTCTGTAGTAGCTGAGTTTGTTTATAAATACCTTCTGATGCCTCTTTAACATGGACTAAATCAAGACTGCTATCTGTGGGTATTATTTTCAAAATATCAATATATTTTTGTTCAGTGGTTGATAACAAAGTATTTTTCAACCTTTTCATCCACTTTTGAGGAAGACCAGACTTGAGAATTACTTCATATAAAGGGTCAGGCTCAATATATGTATAAAAGACCCTCAGTATTGGTGTAAGTTTTGGTGCTTTTTGTCCATATATTGCTGTTAGTAAAGATCTTACTGATGCCATAACTTGGATATAAGTGTTGGAGAGGTTGGTTATCCATAGCTTCTTATCTGGTTTCGACCAATTCCTTGCATCTGAATCACCCAAAAGTCTGGAAAATGCACCAAATAAATATTCAGTAGTTTCGGCGTTTAATTCATTCTCGGTGGACTTCAATATGGATAAATGAGAAGCCTGGTATAACAGACAAGCCTGTGATATTGGGTTTATCCTCCAGTATAAACAGCATTTCTCCACGATGTCCTTAGTAGCGTTTGATATGATGGTCTCTTCTGAATTTTGATGATGTTCATACTCTAAAACACGTGCCAGTAGCTCAACTAATGCATCTCTTGTATCAATTGGAATGAATGTGAAGTCATTTGATGAGACCTTTGTTTTATGGGCTTCCACTAATGGTATACTTTCAATCAGTGTTCTTAGTTCTTTATCCTCTGTTTTCTTCCATGCAAAATATCCATCATGTGAATCAAAACTATCTGGGTTGAACACATCTTCGTTAGACTTTAATAACGATAGACGTTTGTTTAGATCAGCATATAGATAAGGTTCTGTTGCAATTTCTTTTAATCGAATTATATCTTGTTGTAGTTTGACATCATCAACACTAAATAACGATCCAAGAATTTGAGCACTTGAAATCTCAGACAATCTATATGACGGTTTCAAATAGGTAACTCCAGCTTCAGATCCTCTTGAATCAGTAGGTTTCAAATGATTAGATGGCTTTAATGAATTCCTATAATCTTCCAATTTCCTTATAGATACTTCACCATTCTTTTGAGTTCTCAAAATTCCAATCAATATATTAACAAACACGCCTGTCTGGTGATAAACGTCATTCTTTAGATCAGTTTTCCCTGTGTATAATTGAATTTCTTTAGTGGCCAGTCGCACAAATACCACTGTCAACTCTTCTGCTTTTTCAATTCTTCCAGATTTGGGGTCTAATAACTCATTGTATAGGTGAAGCAAGCAACGTTTTGATAATGGATCTTTTACAGATGTATCTTTTCCCACTGCAATTCTACCCAGTTGCTTTTTCAAAGCAGGTATTGTGTCCTTCGGGAGTAGTTCTGGGTCAGACTCGCCTTTATTATGAAACCAGGAGTGTTTATTTGGTGAACGGTCTCTCTTTGCTGGTGTTGGTGTTGATGATCTGGCCGAGCTGGCTGGTGAAGGAGATGTTCTTCCCTGTGAACTTGGAGGTCTTGTGGGTATTTTGAATCTGGGTTCATTTTTATACTCCAGTAAAATTACTTTCAAAACAGCTTCATAAACAGCGTGTGGGTCAGAATCATATTGTTTGGGCTTCAAATGGTTCTCAAGTGTAAGTGTTGAGCCAATTGACAATGCTGAAGTATTCGAGCTGACACTAGTCACTCTCGCCCCAGTATTTTGAACCCTAGCTATGTCTTTTGATTGCATTACCCACGGTTCAGCAATAAATTACTAGCCAAAGTTCAGCTTTATGTTTTGAGCTTTCACAACTTCACGGAAAGGTAAATAAGACACTTATTTTTCTGATTTCAGCTTAGAATTGTAATTCCGCGGTCGGGCCACTCATTTCATAAGCACTGAAGATTTCACTACAAATTAGTTAATTTGAAACCAACTGTTCTAATTTTATTGAAGAATAAATATGTTCAAAATTAGCATGACATTAATAAAAAAGTATGGGAAATCCCGTCCAGATTATAGCCCGGGTTTATTCAATATAATACAAATTTGCAGCTATGATTTTAGTGCAATCATTCATCATCTTTGTAAAGATGCTGGCTCAATACTTTGTTCAATTGGAACATTGTAACTTTCTTACCAAATATTTCCTTCATTCTATCATCACAAATAATCTCTCTTCTGTCATTCGGATTTTGCAACTCCTTCTCTTTGACATAGTCCCACACCCTTTTAACTACTTGAGTTCTAGGTAATCTAGTCTCACCCAAAAGCTCTGATAATTTTGGGCTCAAATTCAACTCTAGTGATGAAAGGGAATTACCAGATGGACTGACTGTTCTGCGTTTCTTCGCTGGTTTTGCAGCGAGTTTATTCTTGCTACTCGTTCTTTTAGTCCTTGTGGCATCTTCTGGTTCATTTTGCAACTTGGCTGCTAGTATGGCATCTTTCTCTTCTATTTCCTTTTGTCTTCTTTTTTGTTCCTCTCTTTCTCCCATCAAATTGTGGTAGCGCTCAAGTATTAAATCACTAACCAGCTTTTTATTCTCGTCAAACTTCACCACAAACAACTCCTGTAAAGCATTTCTTATTCTCTTTACAGAGACTTGTTCTAGATCGGACACACTAAGTATGGCCTTGGATTAGGTTAACACAATTAGCTCCTCGAATTCAAGTAAAATACATACGTCAATTGTTGGGATATACTTTTCACCGTCAAAACCACTCATTATTTCTACCACTAATATTTCTAGAAATCAAATTCGTTTCACAATCCACAGACGACTCAATTGGATTCAATAGATAGTCAAGTTCGAAGCCCACAAGTGTACTAAATAACTGTATTTTGGTGTATCTCCAATTTTCGAGCCAGGAACAAAATTTTGACGATCATACCTTCGCGAATGTGTTTTGCTTCTGTTTCAAGCTCAAATCTACACAATCAAACGGACAAACTAATAGATGAAACAAAACCCTTAATATTAAACTGTAATGCAAAATAAAATCATAATATACAAAATTTTCCAATTTCCGTGAAATAAAAACCCCTTAATCATTGTTTTTCAAGTTACGTTTCTGTTGAAGTTCATTCTTTTTAACTAATTGCTTTCTTTCAGCTCTACTCAAGGTTCTTGGATCAATCAATTCATCTGCAGTGCCTTTGACTTTATCATCCACTTCAACCAACCATTGGTTGTCAAGATCTTTGTTTTTACCTTTGTAACCCCATTTTGGAACCCATTCACCAGTAGCTTCATCGTAAACCATCTTACCGGATTTTTCTTTGGCTTGAATACCTTTTCTAGCAGCAAATTGTTCCCATTTGGTTGGCTCTTTAGCCTTAGGAATTGGTTTTTCTCTTGGTAATTCTGTGGTTGGTTGTGGTAATTGAACTAAAGTTATACTTGATGATTGACCATTTGATCCAGCACTTTCAGTTGTGGTCTTCATTGGTAATGAAAGTATTTGATTTATCAAAAGTTGTGCATTATCTCTAGAAATTGATTTGATGTATTCTTCACGGTCAGGATTGTTGGTTGATAGTTGTTGACTATCTAAAGCATTTGAATCAAAAACAGTTAAGTTACCAAGGTCATAAGTGACTGGGATAGGTTTTTCAACAGTGACAGGTTTGCTATAGTAGTTGTTAGCCCAAATTCTTGAATGAAACAACTATGATCAATACTTACTATTCTCTTTCTTCAGACATCTTTTGGTAATATAGATTAGTTGTTGATAGCTTTCTTATGGAGAGATGAGATGCCATATATTTTTTTTTATCACAGATGAGGATAAAATTTTTTTTTCTTTTAGGAAAAAGCGGTTCGGGCAGTCGCATAGTAAAAAACTACAAAAAGCCATTAACAATGTAGTCTTTCATTTGATACTCAAAATGTTCCAAATAGCCTTCTGATGACTCTACTTGGATAGATCCTTACCGTAGCATCCACATTCTTGTCCTTATACGCCGAATGCATTTTATTGGCTTCAAACTGGGAGGAAAACTCTTCCAACGCAAGTTTTGTATGGTGTTTTGAAATTGTGTGAAGCTCAATGATATCAAAGTTATTCCCCATAGTCCAAGAACCATCCTCCAAAGCTTCACCCATTTGACTGATGTGCTTTTCCCCAGCAAGTGATTTCAACCACTCAGTTATTGCTCTATGATATGAGAGTACAACATAATGAAGTAATGCATCGAGTTGACCAACCAATATTGGGACCTCATCAATTATCTGATTCTCTAAAACAATGTATTCTTGAGCATCTTTGTAAGAATGGTTACTGATTTTACCAGCCGTAGCACTTTTTAATTTGGTTTTTTCCTTGTTGATATAACTGATGTAAGCAGCTCTGTATGTACTATGTTTATTTACCTTATTTTTGACACTGTGACAATGCTCCAATGAAAGATCTAAAGCCTTCACAATGGTTTCTTTCACTTCCTGAACCACCAACATAGTTTTACCCCTTTGATCCTTAAGCTTCTCAGTATAGCTTGAGTAAATTGATCTTATAAAATGTTCATCAGTCTCATTATCTCCATATTCCATAAACTTTTCCCAACTTTCAGCAAATTGAATATGTTCATCCATGAATGATATCAGAGGGTTCAATGAGTACACTATCTCCTTTTTCAATGCTTGAACTTTAATATATCTTGATTTGAATTCTTTAACAATAGAAGCATATTCCCTTCTTGGGGTTGTTGAGAAAACTGTGCCAGTTTCTGTAGCAAGACTTTTGGTATCATTATCATCAATATTTCCATCTGCACTGCTAGGTGGAGTTAGGTTATTTATCCCATCAAGTAACTTTTCCACATGGGCTTTTGCATCACAAAGATGTTGAATAATTTCAAAAGAGACATCATCACAAGAAGTATCTAAAAGCTTATCAATAAGGAGAGTGTACTTGGAAAGTCTTTGAATTGGCTTTATCAACAATGACTCAAAATCCCAACAATTTGACTGGGATTTGGCAAGAAATGCACATTCATCTAACCATTTACTAACTTTTGGACCGCTGAAATTTGTACATCTTGTCAACTCCTGCATTTGGGTTCTGTGGTTTTTAAAATATGAAGTATAAACAATTTTGAACCTGTTCAAATAATTATCAAAAGTTTCACCAATGTCAAAGCGTTCAATTCTCGAGTTTCCAATCTGTTCCTTCAGTGAGTCTCCTTCCACAAAATCGCATTGCATGTGCTTCTTGATACCTTTCATTAAATCTCGTATCAAAAGCTTGCTCAAATCTATCACAGTATCTATATTTCCAAAAATGATAGCCTCTTCATTTTGACTCAATATATTTTTGTACTTTCTTGAATTGTGCAACAAGGATCTATAAACCGAATTTATTAGCAACAGGTCATTTTGATATTTCACTTCACTTTCAATCAGCTCTTCAAATGCTCTTCTGTACTTGGTTTCAGGGTAGCTTGTTGATATACCTTTATATTTAGGGCTATCACAATGAACATCATCCAACCCACTGGCAAAATTTTCATTTTTAATCGGTGAATCCACTTTCTTATTAGTTAAAGAATCCATTCGAGGTGGTAGAATAAGATCATCGACATTTCTTTTCCTATTGTTCTTCACTCTTTCCTGAATCTTACCAATAGCTTCACTGCCTTTCTCACCAGCTGTTGAGTACCATAACGAACCGGCGTATGGATTAGAAATTTGATAGAATTCAACTGGATTCCGTTTGGGGAACTCAAAATTTTGGTTCAAATTGTTTTTGTCAACCTCCTCGTGATCTGTATCGTTTGAGGATAAGATGGTGGAATACCATGATGAAGCATCAGACTCTGGAGAGCTAGGATAGTTGAGATTTTCCGTCATCAATTAGTTGTTAAAATGGGTATTTTGACCAAGGAGATATCCAGTGCCATCTTTATTTGTAGAGATAATCCATATTTATATGGAAAGGTGCCTGTTTTGTTTCTCTTCTGTCAAAGTGCTGGCATTTGTTTTCGATGAGTTCAGTTTTGTCGGAGGTTTGTTTCATGTCATAAAACAGCATTTTTTTTTGCGAAACTATAGAAATGATATCAACAGCTCTTTTTACGGTTAAATAAGAACATGCCTAAATTAGTATCTACATGGCTGGCTAGAACTTGAAAAAAAAACTCTTGAAACTTTTTATTCCTCGTTTGAAATGACATAATTAGCATGATCCATTGCACCTTTCCCAAAGAAATCAGTCACGACCTTGAATCTATTATCCGTATCCTCAAGAGTGGCATTAAACAAATCATTTCTTTCACCAATAATTCTTTGTCCTTCTCTGATATTACGAACTGTTTCCCTAGCTGGTGTACATTTTGGACACTTATCAACTTCTGCCAAACAGTGCTTATGGTACGAATGAGAGCACATAAAATGAACAGTCTCAGAATCAAGCTTATTTGAACATGAATCACACTTGTTAGGTTGTATGGTTTTTGGTGATGATTCAAGTTTGTGTATCTCTGTTTTCTTCTTATTTGCCTCCTGTCTGTATGAATCAATTAGCTTTTCATTTATTTCGATCTCTTTCTTTTCAGTTTCAACAAATTCGAGTATATAATCCTTGAGTAGTTCTATTGTAGCAATTTTGTTGACACTTAAAGCTTGGATTATTTCTAATGGCGACAAGATACGATCTTTTTTGATTTTATCCAAAACAAACTTGAATTTCTCTTCGCCAACTTTTTCAAATATATTTTCACTTGACGTGTAAAACATAAGAGCCAATGGATAAAGCTCTGGCTCATTATCTCCATATTTTTGTAACGTATCGATAGCACCTTCAACATCTCCTGAAGCAACGCATGATCTGAAAAGATCAATTTCAAACCCAGGTCCTTCTCTCGCAAGAATTTGGCCATCATTAAAGTCAAAAATATTTGAAATCAAAAGAATAGAAGTTGGATCAATCAACTTTGGATCAGATTTGGCCAGTTCAATAGCCTTTGTTTCCCATGCTTCCCTGTCTTCTTCTTTTTCTTCGTTTGTACCTAGTGTTAAATATAGCTCATACAAAGTGTTCAATATATCAGCTTTATCTTTTTCATTCCCTTCAAAAGCATCATATGTCACAGCACAAGCTTCCAAGAAAATAACAAACTCATTAGGTCTATTAACAAAAGATGGAAAAATAACTCTAGGTTTTGGAGGTTGGTATGTTGGTTCCGAACCATTCAGATCACCATTTTGCAAATCATCTTCAGAGCTAGAAGCTGTAATTGTACTAGCAGCAGTTGACATATAGTTAACAAATGCTTTATAACTTTGTAATAAAACAGGTGTATCTGTCTTCTCCTCACCCAGTAATGTATTTGAAGTTGAAGCCTCTGGTTTGTATTTTCCTGTAAATACATCAATTAGCAGGGCAGTGGTTGCATTTGGAATAGACTCAAGAAGAAGTCTAGCATACTCAACCAAAATTCTAAGTGTTTCATTGATTGGTAAAGTCTTGATATATTGAATAGCAGCAGGTGCATCACGTAAATCTCTTAGTAAAATATCAACAGCTAAAGAAGAATATCCTGAATTTTGTGCTAACTTGGATGCTTGTTGTAAAAACTTTGTTTCGCGGCAAAGTTCAACGACAACCTCAAGATCAAATTCAACTTTCACCAGCTCATTGGTTTCTTGGTCATATTTATCAATAAAGGAATTTAGCTTCTCGATATCTTTCAATTTGCAATATGTGCACAAAAGAAGTGTTACATGCTCCTTAGTACATAGCCCTTGTTTTAGCATTTCCTCCAAGAATCTAGCCAAATTGGAAACTTCCTTACTATCTTTGAACTTTTTGATGATTTCACTTGTTTTTCCTAATGACAACGTATCAATATACTGATCCATCGCTTCGGTTGTCTCATTTCTTGAATATAGATAATCACCAAACTTCCTCTTGATATCTAGCACCACTTGGTCATCAATGTTATTTTGGGCCAGTTCAATAGCAACTGGGTATAGATCACGCTTCACCACAATGTTCAGCTGCTCTTGTAGTTCTTTTTCATGAAATCTGTACAATATACCATCTGAAGATAACAAAAAAATATCATTCCATAGGGAAAAGATATCGCTCACAGTTGATGATATAGTATAACTGAAAGAAATCAATTTTTGCTCAATATTTGCAATGATGATTTTTGTAGGCTCAGAATAGCCATTCAAGACTAAACTTGAGCTGGTTGTGTTGTTGGTTGTAACAATAACAATGTACTTTCCAAACTTGTGAATCAGTCTCTTAGGGAGATCTAAAGCTATTGTGTATGAGGAGCCATTGGTGTCATAAAACACAATACCTTCAGTTCTACCAACAATCAATTGATCTCCATCAATATCAACTGTTCCTAAATCTGCACCTTTTGATTTTTCAAGCCATTTTTCAACTCTATTATTGTTCCCGCCTGTGGTTGGCACTGATAAAATCTTTGAAGTTGAAGTGATGTATAACAATGGGTCATAATTATTATTTGCCACTAGCTCTAGTCCAGTTATTGGGTCTTGTGATCTATAAGCAATAGTTTGACTGGAACCTCTGTCTCTTAGAATGTCACCTCGTACCAGCACGACGTTGCCGTTTGCGAAACCAAAGGCCAAAATGGAGAAGTTTGATGAGAATGTGAATGACGTTATTGGATAGGAATTGGAACCATTCTTGATATGCACTATAGAATGATAAGATGAATCATTGACTTTATCAGGTTGTTTTGTGATTATTTTTTCTATTGACCAAAGTTTTAATATTGATGGTTGTCCTTGTCTTTCGGCAACTGTTGTGAAGAAATTTGTTCCCTCTATGTACCGTATGAACGTTATACTCCATCCTTTTTCATATGCAGTAAATGATTTTATCAGCTTGAGATCCTTGTCAATGAATTTGATCACTGAATTGTTAGTTGATATTATTAAATAATCTGGAGTTGCACACGTAGCGGTCAAGCTAGGGTCTGAATACAGGGGGCTTTCGGAGCCAAGGTTTGGGTCTCTGATTGGAATTGCCTCAAAGAATTGGAACTGCCTCCAGGACATTTCGATAAAAAACGATTGGCTTTGTGGTGTTTGGTGAATGATATATGAAAGAATTGGTTTCTCTGTATCTATAAGTTATACTTGAACCTAAAGAGATCTCTCGAAAAAAACAAAATCGATATTGGCACGTGAAATGTGACAGCATGATTAAATAATTTGATTATTATAGAACCTGATCAAGCTGTACACCAATGACGCTTATATTACAAATGGTATAAGGAAACAAAATGGATGAGCCGTGTTTTTCTCACGAAGCTTTTGGATTTGATATTTTAACGTAATTAGCAATATGGCAGTACCTATTATTTATATAATATTGTGCATGACTAGGTGCTAGCTAGCTGGCGCATTATTAATCTTAATATATATAAAATTGAAAACATTAATATATAATATTAATATCGACTAGCGCCAAAGATATTATTGTTGTACCGCTTTATAATGATCATCTAGAGATCATAATAATATTATCAATTGATTGATATATATATTTTTTTTTTCAAGTTGATGTATAACTATAATAATTTGATGAACTTGGATATTGATCGAACTACCTGATCATGATATGATCGTCTATGACCGATTTATAATATTTAAACTAGGGGATATAAAATCCGAATAAAAACAGGTTAGAAATATGAACTAAAAAATTAAAATAAATATTAATGTTAATAATATTATATTTTTTTTTTTTAGTTGATGTATTTGATGAACTTGGATGAGGAATGCAATTACGCACGAACCGCTTGGATTGTAGGCTTCTCGCTATGTTGGAATTCAGGCTTCCTTATAATATCCTTCTCAGCCAACTGAGAAACCTATCCTCCACCACGGAACATTGTTAACAATTGTAAAATTTGCGGAAATTATAAGTACTAGACGTATAAGTAATTAAATTATATATTATAATTAATAATTAATAGTTTTTTTTTAATTTTAAGTAATTAATGTATTTGATGAACTTGGATGAGGAATGCAAATATTACGCACGAACCGCTTGGATTGTAGGCTTCTCACTTATTATATTCATTAATTATTTAATTTTAATTTAATTTTTTTCATATAATTGATATTTAACACTAGATCAGTACGTTCTTATATTTCAGCTGCAATTTATATATTAATCTTAATTTCCAATATAAATATTTATATACAATTATTACATATATTATATTTCAACTAGCTTTTTTTTTGTATACTAGCTGTGCCTGAGTGCAGCTGCTTAATATTTATTATATATTCGACATTAATTTTTATTAGCTTTCTGCCCATTTGGTCAGGCAGTTAGCATTTTATCATTATTTACCATCATCATGGGTTCAAACCTGAGCTCTGATTTTAGGGTGAGTTTTAGTGGGTATTCCTCAACAAGAGGCGAGTCCCACACTGTTCCGTGGTGGAGAATAGGTTTCTCAGTTGGCTGAGAAGGATATTATAAGGAAGCCTGAATTCCAACATAGCGAGAAGCTTACAATCCAAGCGGTTCGTGCATAATTGCATTCCTCATCCAAGTTCATCAAATACATCAAACTAAAAAAA